TTTAATCAAAGTTGAATACTCGTCCGTAGACAGAGTTTTATTTTATTTGTTATAAAGTGCGAATTGGGGCTGGAAACTGTTAGAAAACCAGTAATGTTCATAAGAGTAAAGGGATAAATGCCTCTATTGTTGATACGCGTTATGATTTCTGTAACTGGCTTGTAAGTTTTGGTTCGGCATTATTTTGTTATATATCGTCTGCTATCGAGTATTGGCTTAAAATGTATACATATAGGTGGCTTTTTATATTAATTAACCCTTTCGCTGCCAGAGGGTTATTGTTTTATTGTTCACCTATTTGCCAGAGGATTTTCTAAGAAATTACTATATTATTAATTAATATAATTATTATTATTTGTTATATGTATTATAATAATTATATATGTTTCCAAATCTGTTAGTATAATAATAATTATTGTCGATGGTATAATTTTCTTTATATTTATTATTATTTTTATTATTATTATTATTAATTTATTATAATTACTATTATTATTATAGAAACGGCTAAAGCCGTCTATATGGCAAATACGCCGAAAATAACAGGGACGGCTTAAGCCGTCCCTATGGCAGTGAAAGGGTTAAGTAAGGATCCCTATCTTTCTAGATAAACAACTAAATTAATACCAAGTTTCGGTTACAAATTATGTGGTTGTGTTTTTTTATATTTGTTTGTCAAAAAATATATATTCCAGTATTACAGTTTAACGCTAGGTTTGAACAAACCAAAATTGTTTTACGCATGCAAGATTTGATTTACTGTTTGGCTTAGGCATCCATTAGAACACACCAACATCCTTCGTAAAATTGATTTATTGACACAATTTTTCTTTCACATAAACGCTTGCTTCAGTTCATTGACAATGAGCCGAAAATGGCGTGATTTTGGAAAACCAGAAGTGAACGAGAAAATGTATTTGAATATCCAAATAACATATGTATGAACAGATTATGTCTGGTTACAAATGTGAAAATACAGTACAAATAAAAAAGACTGCATGAGTTAACTGATACAGAAACATTAATGATAGACGTTTTAAAATGTATTACTTACGGTTAAGTATCTTCTTTAATCCATTTATATTCTTTTGAATCAAGTGATCTCGAAACTTTGCACAATATTCATTTCTAAAGTGTTTTATTTTCAAATGTTTCAATGTAATCTGAGTGATACGTTTGAAAATTTATAACACTATTCTCATATTCTCCTAAAGAATTAAGTTCAATACCTTGCCACCTTATAAGTTTTAACGCTATTATATTCGCGCTACGGTATTCGCGCTATGCTTGAATAAGCCGCTTGCTTCTTAGCCAATGAAATTTCAACAACTCATACTTTAAGGCAAATAATATCAAATGATCTATTTATATTTATTACGTTTAAAGGAATTACCAAAATAAATATTGAACGTTGAATATCATGTTTCTGTTTGCCTTGTTAAAATCATTCAAAGGGTGTATTCACAAGGTTGAATATTAAGTCAATCGATATTGTAATTATACTGGTATGCGATCATTTTTCCTTAAGTCATTTAGAAAATAAAACACCTGGTTTAACGTATTATGATTGCTGTAAGACACAATACTTCAAATTGATCAAATGCATTTATCGTGTAAATGGTTCATTTTCTTCAAATTGCTTTGTTCCATTCTTATATTTAAAATACACACGACTTAAAATATAACCTTGTTTTCAAAACGTTATCGTTTAAATTATTAGTTTTGTAATAATTTAGATATTGAGTGAACAAAAGAAATATTTAAAAGAAACCTTAAGCAGGTCGCATATTCATTCATTTATTTATTTATATATTGATTGATTGATTTCTGCCAAATTATACGATTTTATAAAAGTATCTTGTTTCCTTTATCTAAAGAGGCTTTACTATAAAAATAAACAAATATGGGTCCAACACCCATACATTTATATGCTCAAGGGTTACCAATAGTAACATATTATAAGTTCAATATTTATATTTTGCTTTTTGGTCTATTATTCGTATTTTTGTTATTAATATTACATATATAATATAATAATTTAAATGCCACATGTATAGACATACAAAAGTACTGTATAAATATCGTCTGCTATAGTGCGTGGTTAAACATGTGTACATTGCTTACAAATGGATTGTGAACTTGCACATAACAGTTAAAAGGTCGATCAAAAGTTCAATTTAGAAGAAACCATGCATGTCTGTGACTGGTCATCGGGATATTGCAATAGAATGGTAAAATACAGAGCCCTAAAGGATATACAACAAATAAAACTTGATAACTGTTGCGAATTCGTTTTCATTTACGGTAGATAAGCAACTGTCTATGCCCCCCAAGGATCGGCTTGAGCAGCATTTAACATTAATTTAACATTAAAATGGTTAAACTTTGCAATAGAGCTTCCGAAGATGCACATATGGCTGTGATATTAGAGAACATTCATTATGAAAAGAGATACCTAAAAGCAAAAAATTAAAGAGTATCAGAAGTTAAAAGCCTTCGTAGTTACTACAACGACGAGACAAGAGACATACACTACATGTATACTGATTTTAGTAACAGTGAACCAAAATGAAAAGTTATATGCAATCCTTTCAAGAAAGAGTAACATTACGCCGCCGTCAATGTTCATTTTGTCCTACGTTTCTTTTCAATCTTAATACGAGATTCCAGTTAATCAAAATGACTAGTTTTGCTTCTCACGCATAAAGTAAGGAGTCAAATATTTGTATAGTTCTTTATCGTACAGATACTTTCAACTTGTTCAATACTTTTCCAATACTGACATATCATCTCTTTTTAAAGAAATCTAATAGACAAGTTTAAGCAATACTTTTTAAATCAAACATGTCAAAGTTTTCCTTCTATAAAACTTGTGTCACATAGTGCAAAGGTAGTCAGTAGATAGAGGAATAAACAACCAGATTTATAAAACCGAAACTTCTATTTTAGAGAACCTTCCCCCTCTCCTTAATTTTGGTTTAGTCAGTCTAAATCAAGATATTGTCCCTGAAAGTGATATTCTTTACCTTCTAGGACAGTTCCCTATTAAACGATGTGATAGTTATGTGGTGTAAAATACATTTTGATAAAAACATGTCAGTTTATTACTAAAACAGAATCTTATGATGCGAACCCATCATAAATTATTTAAATTGTTATATTGATTCATCTTAACACTCTATGGTTCTATATTATGTTTAAATAATGCACTCGTTCAAAATTGATTACAATATTATTTTCTTTTGGAATGTTTAACATTGAATTACTAGTAAACACTTAAATCTTTCACAAAAGGTTTAATCATAATGGTTAATGAGTCGTTTGACAAGTCTTTTATCTGTACTGCCATGCGATATCGTATAGTCATTATACCTCAGCCGGTAAATCTCTTGTCTTATTTTTCTTTAAAGTAATGTTTATAATAGTAAAGACGATAAATTTGTCATCTCGAATGATTTAAAGACATAATTTAAACAGCGAGTACTTTATGATTCATTTATAACTAAATGTCGCCACGTCTCAACACATCCCTATGCCAAATGTATAAAATAACGAAAAGGTTTAAGAATAACAATGGTAAGTACCGTTTAAAGGGACGCAATACATTTAGTATATGAAAGTAGTATTTGAAGAGTTATTCATTATGTATACGTACAGTTTAAAGGGACGCAATAAATAATTGTATCATTTTATAATTGAAGTGGTATTTGTGATTTTTTTATATTGCATATGTATACGGTACAATGGTACCGTATAATACCAACTTTACATTTTGAAGAATTAATTATGCACAAAAATTGTACTGTACATGTATAAATAAGGAATAAGCATATAGTTACATGATTTAATGCTATTTTGTATCAATTGTTGGCTTTAACGAAAAAGAAAGTGGGAAATTCATTTTGTTAATTATAATACATTGAAAATTTACATTTTCCAAAGGTTGTTTTGATATTCTGTGAATAAATATGAAATATAACACATTGTCCATATAGCTTAATTATGTTTGCATTTTGGCAGACATTTGCGTTATCAAAGTTATAGTGATTCTTTATTATTAGAAAAATACCTCTTTGCTTAATTTTCGCTCCATTTATAAAGACAAATTATTTCACATTCAACATTGTTTCTTCAAGTGATAGGCATGAATTTAAAAAAGAATTATAAGAATTATGTATTATAAAACATAGATTGCATTTGTTTTCAGAGTCAATTTGTATTCATTTATGAGACTTTATTTGCCTTTAAAGATCCTTTCTGTTTTGTGATTGATATTGTTACTGTGTGTATACCACACTTACAAAAAATTATATAAAATTCGGTAATATCTTTATAAATATTGCTTGTTGGAACTTACAATATTGACAAATCTTAGTTTGAGCATTATATTTATATAATAAAGCCATGAAAAAAAATGTGTTACAAGATCTTTAAAGGAACATCAAAAACATGTTTCCCTGTAGAAAGGACAGTATGTTTATTACAATGATTAAATAATAGTTGTAGAAAATTTTGTTGTTTGTTACATGAAAAAGGGAGTGATAAATGAGAAATAATTTGCCATAAAAGTAGCAAAATGTAAACAAAATAGTATGTTGACTTCCTTACAAAATATTTATTAACTTAAACTCTACACATTGCTAAACAGGTACAGATGAAAAAGAAAGTCCAGGTAATTCGCCAATGAGTTTCCTTTTGGATACTATAAAAGAACACCACAATTAAAATAACCCTTCGAGCAACAAAAATAAAAGCGACTCTGAGGCATAACGGGCCTTTAATGTTTCACTCAAATCATTCAATCGAATTGGATTTAATTACCGCTGATTCAAAATATTATTCCGAGCATGATTTTAATCGATATTGCGTCTCAACAACATATGTCAAATAGGAAGTAAATGATTTATATCACAACAAAACAAAAAATTGATTGGCAACAACGTGTATGTTAATCAATTGAACAACAATCTGGCACCAGAAAATGCTCTATATAACTGACGTACAACGATTTCATTCAGTGCAAGTGAAACTTTTCCTATAGGTATGTTAGTATTGAAATGCTGTCAATCGCGCGTTTTGGTCCGCAGAATGATTACAGCACAGTTATGTTGGAAGAAAATGCATCATGTTTTGTTTTGTGCTCTTGTATTGTTAGTTTGTTTGACGGTTTTCAGTGAAAGAAGAACTAAATTCGCCGAAGTAAGTTTCCTTCTATTTATTTTGTACTTTCTTTAACATATTTAAAGCATGAGTATAGCTGGAATACAATTGTAGTAAAACCAACAATCGTTTCGTATACTCACTACTTCGGGTGGCGGCTGTAAAAAATCGCCCGTCCTTATCCCATGTTACCACCAGTTCTCATCAATTGCAATAATTATGCACTTTAGTTATAAGATAAGTAAAGGGTTTGATTTTTTTGATAAAAATTTCATTAAAGTTAAAATTTAACTTTATCACATATTGGTCCTATTTACAATTTGATGATAAACTTCTTAAAGGAAGTCTAACTGGAAGATTGGTCCGTAGTTAACGTTCGCCCATGTAATTCTAACTCTTAGCAGACTTGAAAAATGTGTCCTTTAAAAATATTTAAAAGTAAGTGTTTGGCTATATCTCAAGTCTTAGCAGTATATTAGAATCTGACTTTCGAATAAAAATTATCAAAGCATGGGACTGATTACGCAGAAAGAAAAATTCGACTTTTTTAAAAACAAAGTAGATGCTTGTTCAAATTAACATTTGTAATAACAGTTAATGGTTTGTTTGTGGGAATAAATAAGTTTTCAGTGGAAATAATTTTAGCATTTAAGTTTCATAAAGTTTTTTTAATCTCATGGAAATATTTTAAGCATTGCAGTTTAATGAAGTGGAAATATATAAGGTTTTTTAATAGAAATATTTTAGCATTTTAGTTTTATGTGAAAGAAATGTATATGTTTTTATGAAAATATTTTAACATTGCAGTTTTATGGGATGAAAAGTTTTTTTAATGGAAATACTAGTATTTAAGCATTTAAAAGTTTCATTAGAGAAAAATATATTAGCTTCTTGTAATGGAAACATTTAAGAATTTAAGTGTTATTAGATGGAAATATAATATAAGTTTTTCAGTAGCAATATTTTTAGCATTTTAGTTGAGAAAGAAATATTTAAGTTTTTTCCCATGGAAATATTTTAGCATTTAAGTTTCATTAGAGGGAAATATATTAGTTTTTTATATGGAAATATTTAGTTTTTTTTTTAAAATATTTTAGCATTAAAGTATTATATTAGTTCTTTTTCTAATGGAAACATTTTAGAATTTAAGTTTAATGAGAGGGAAAAATATAAGTTTTTAATGGAAATATTTAAGCATTTAAGTTTTTGGAAAGAAAATGGTTTAGCATTTAATTTTTATAAAGATTAATGTTTAAAAATTTAAGATTTATGTGAGAGAATATATTCTACTTTTGTATGTCTCATGAAAGGGAAATATTTGACATTTTATTAAAGGAGATAATGAAATATTTACTCATTAAATCTATAAAGTTTATCTATCAAACAGCTCTTTATTTTTCATGTTGGCCTAATTTAAGGATTTTACCGTTCTATTCTCAGCAAAACAGATGGCATTTATACTGTCTATATATAATACTCGGTGTACAAACGAGTCTACTTCCGGTTGTAGCAGGAAAAGTACAAACTACAGTGACCGGAAGTAACAGGTGCTTGTACTCGCAAGTCATTTAACACAATAAATTGTTTAGACGCGCAAGACAATGGGCAGTGATTTCGTTTATGTACCTATATACTGTGAAATAACTATATTATTGCCACATTTGTTGTTGTATTTCTGGAGAACGCAAATATATTAGTAACTGTATACATGCTTGATTAATCTAGAGCACTGTTTGTTTTAAAAAAATTCTTTTCAGAAAGACGGTGACGGAGAGGACGTAAAATATGTAGCGGAAAATCCATACATAGGTGAAAGAAAGTTAGTCTACGTAATATTTGAACAACCTTAATACTAGTAGTTCCGATATTTTCTGTTTGCAAATTAGCCTTGATTTCCATTTAATAATTGAGTTCTTTGTGATTTTAGAATAAGCATTTATTAGTATTTATACAAAAAAGACCGTTGGGGACAATTCATCTTCATGAATTCCCGATTTCATTTTCGCGAATTCACAATTTAACCAAACGTTGGAATTGGAATGAGCTAATCCAAAATTCAAAATAGAGCAAATTCATTTTGAAAATTCAAGAGATTCCTACCCTGATCTTTAATTTAAATAACGATTGCTCTAACCAAAAACATTGTCATGCATTCTTTTGCTAACAAGAATATCACTAATAACTTTTCATTTCTTGTTGTTATTTTTAATCTCTCTTTGACAGACCTAAACATTTGGTAGGGTCGGGCATATTTTTGGGTAGGGTAGGGTGACCCAAACAAAACAACTTTTTCTTCAGGTCTAAGTTACCATTTTTTATATTGTCTCATACTTAATTAATTCTGAAGCGATTTAATACTTACTTTTCTGTCTTAGGTAGACACAATATGGATCTTGGAAACAAGTATGAGGCATTCATAAAGCGATTCGTTTTAAAAAGATTATATCAATTGTTATTTTATTTCAGAGGGAAAAAAAACGAAATTTTAATCATTTTGTCAATTTAATATAGTGAACAAATCGACACCGTACGGTATCCTAAATTAAACGATATAGAAGATGAAAAAGGAGAACAAGAAGATGTGGACGTTGTTTATACGTGGGTGAATGGATCAGATCCTGCCTTCATTAAAGATTTTCAAATGATGATGAAAATGCAAAATAAAGCCAAGTAAGTAACTTAAAAAATGTTTTAATGTAGCTTAAACATACAAATTTGTTCTAAGCGATATTTTTGGTAATTTTTGCACTCCTATTTTATATAATTTTATAAAACTTTTAATCAATTGAGGCGGAGCTAGGGTGGGGGTCAGCGTGGACGCAAGCATTTATATCATGCGTGAGTGAAACGCATTCAATTTTACTATATATGTTTTCCATTCTATGATTTCAGGTAAAAAAGTAGTTCTAAGATTTTTTGAAACATTCACCTATATATTTCTTCTTTACAATGAATCTCGCGCTTGAGTCTAATGGTCATTTATTCCTCACTGCTAATTCAGAAATCATGAGGGGTTAATATAATCGGTCATTTGCTGAGATATCTTAAGTATTTACCGGTTAGTTATCTAGGAAAGCCGTAAAGGTGTGTTGAAGTCGGAGCTAAAACCTGTCAAACAAACAAACCATCTGAAATTGACATTCTTGGGAAATTGCTTAGATTTCCAAAATGGCGGACTTTAGATTTCCAAAATGGCGGACTTTAGATTTTCAAAATGGCGGACTAGATAGGCATGATGAGGTATTTACCTCTGTCTCTACCTAATACTTTCTCTTCTAAGAGACATGCATGCAACTTGTTGCTATTAAAGACAGTATCGGATTCTTTTGCAATGTTTATGTTTAATATCCTCAAAATGATAACAGGATAACACTGATAATGTAGTAGCAGTTTTGGAAATCTAAACCAGTTCCCGGGAACCCTATACTAGACAACAACAAATATGGCTTTGACAAGTCTTTATCGTATTTCAGACCGGAAGTGTTGGCGTTAAATCGGTACAATGACTGGGGAACGCTGAAATATTCAATGAGATCAGTGGAAAAGAACGCACCATGGATTCGTCATATATATTTGTTAACGAATGGACAAGTTCCTGATTGGTTGGATCTTAATAGCCCTCGAATAAGCATAGTGACACATGCGGTAAATATATATACATGTACTTTTCGCACAATCCGTATAATTTGTAACGTCGGTTATCTTTGGAAGATCGTAACGTTTATAGTTTATATAAACTGCTACTGCATTTTTTTACTTTTTTTTTCTTTTTAACGTCCGATTAGCTCAATAGGAAGAGTGGTGGACTATGAATCGGGCGACTCGGGTTCGATTCCCGGAGAGCTCAGGTCACTTTCGTTGTGATTGATCATGAAATCATTTCTATGGTCATTCGCACTTCACCGCTGCTTTTGCATGTACAGAAGTAATCAGTTCTTTGCAAAAGTGAAGGCAACTAGTACTGGTAAACTGCTCGACACCCTTCCCAGAAACGATGCTTTGGCTGATCTTCAATGTGGCTTTATGCCGTGATCCGGAGTGACAAATATCACGGCTACCACCACCTCTTACCAAACATAATAATAATAACAATAATAATAATTATTATTATAATATTTATAATAATTATAATAATAATAATTATCATAATAATAATAATAAAATAATAATAATAATAATCATTATAATAATAACACTTATAGTAATAATAATAATAATAATAATAATAATAATCATAATCATAATCATAATCATAATAATAATAAAAGAATAATAATAATAATAATAAAAATAATAATAATAATCATTATAATAATGACACTAATAGTAATAATAATAATAAGAAGAAGTAGAAGAATAAGAAGAAGAGAATTATAAGAGTGGTGGTGGTAGTGGTGGTGGTGGTGGTGGTGATGATGATGATGATAATGATGATGATGATGGAAGCAGTCGTAGTAGTAATAATGATGATATTAATAATGATAAAGATATAAAATAACCCTTATTATCAGCATCAAAATAGTAATAATAATGACCATCATAATCATAAATATTATCACCATCATCAACAACAGCTACAACGATTTTCATCACCATCATCATCATCATTATGAACAACAACAATAAAATTAGAGAAACAGTAAGTTGACAATAAAATAATTTTAAAAAAAATCTCTAATCCAAAGTTTTGTTATTTTATACTTGCATCAGGACATTTTTACAAACAAATCTGATCTCCCAGCGTTCACATCTCCTGCAATAGAAAGCCATATACACAGAATACAAGGACTGTCAAACAGATTCTTGTACATGAATGATGATATCATACTGCCCACAAAAGTTTACATGTCCGATTTTTATACGGAAAGAGACGGATATAAGGTAACAGTTATCTGTGTGTGTTTTTTGTTCTCTTTTCCTTTGTGTGCACATTTTTTTCATTTAAATTAATTTGATTTAATTTTATTTCATTTTATTCAATTTTATTTATTTATTTATTTATTTATTATTTCTATATTTATTTATCTATTATTCATATTTTTATCTATTAATAATTTTAAATAAATAATCAATTTATTTTTATTTATTTATTTATTTATTTATTATTTATTTATTCATATTTATTATTTATTTATATTTATTTTTATTTATTTATTTATTTATTATATTTATTCCTTATTTTATTTTTTACCAATCAATTATTTTTTATTTATTTATTTATTTATTTATTTATTTTTTTATTTATTTAATTTATTTATTTATTCATTATTTATTATGCCCATTGTTTTCATTGATGAGCTGCATTGACTCTATATTTCAAAAGATTGACTGGGATAAAATATAAAAGCCTTGAAATTTAACGTTACAGGTAAATTCCTATGGAAATTTTTCTTGAGCCACGCGAGTTATTTTTCAGTCACACAAAGTAAATTATAAAATTGAAAGGAATAATGGCAAAATGTAAACTTATTTGGACTTTCACTTATTCACTTACTTTACACTCATGGATGGGCATAATGTCACTTTTAATGTTTTTCAAAACCTCTCTTTTTAAAGCTGAGATTTATCGAGGAAAGGCTTGAACATTGTAACAAAGTCTGTGCATCAAACAGTGTGAATAACGGGATTTGTGAGGCTAACTGTACCAGCCCTAGCTGTGAATTTGACGGCGATGATTGTAAAGGTATTGCAAATATCCCTCTTTATATGGGGTCCGACAAGGAGTTTATGTACGACAGTTGGGGTGGTTCGTTACGGCACACCCACTTCTTGCTGAACAAGATGTTTGGTCCTAAAGACAGATACATACCAGAACACGCAGCTCACATGTTTGATAAAGACGTCCTCTCAAAGCTTGTAGAAAGGTAAGTGTTAAAGTCGAGAAAATTCTTTAATAACTTTTTCTTTAACGTTTTAATATTAATACAAAATTATATTGATATTGATGACAACAATAATAACAACGAATTTCAACTTCTTCAATTCATGATTTCAGTTTTCTGAAGTCACGATTTCAACATCGAAAAGTCATATGAAGTTGAAATCGTGAATATGTGAATTCCGTATATGAAAAACGTGAATTCACGAAGTTAAAAATGTGAATCCACGAAGATGAAATCGAGAAGTCATGAAGTGGAAATGTCCCTACCGGTCTTTCGTACAATAAATACAAAATATTTTTTTTTAGTGTACACACCTGAAAAAAGTTTAAAGTTAAATAAAGAGCCAAGGAACAGGAAATTTAGTTATTACTGTTGAAAAAAAAAAAAATTTTTATTTAATTTTATCCATGAAATATGGTGCTATATCAGACAAATATATTTCATATTTTTTAAAATTAAATATGAAATATAAATATGAAAGTGGGCGGAGTCAAAACTCATATTTATTTTAAGGGTCTTCTTTCGCCATTTTGTTTGAAAAATCGGATAAATACAAAACAACTTTTGTTGAATTTTGTTTTGAAAGCTATCTAGAATGATAGAAAATGGTCTAACTAAGAAAATAAATGCGAACACCAATATCTTTAATTCAGTTATTAACGCCCGTGATAGGGTTTAAAATCGAAATACAACTGAGAACATTTTTTTTAATCAAAGACGGATTATTACATGTGTGAACAATGTCAAAATTTCACTTTACATTTGTTTCTCTAACTTTGGTACATACAACAACACATTTGAGCCGCGTCATGACAAAACCAACATAGTGCGTTTGCGACCAACATGGATCCAGACAGCCTGCGCTTCCGCGCAGTCTGATCAGGATCTATGCTGTTCGCTATTAGTTTCTCTACTTGTTGTAAGGTTCGTAAGCGAACAGCATGGATCCTGATTAGACTGCGCGGATGCGCAGGCTGTCGTGATCCATGTTGGTCGCAAACCCATTATGTTGGTTTTGTCATGACGCGGGTCGTTTATAAACTGCCTGTATTTTAGCTTCCCAGACGAATGGAATAGAACGTCATCAACAAAAATCCGCCATCATTTGACCATTCAACCAGAGTTTGCGTATTATAATTATTTGAAAGAACTGGAAGAATTGAGGACTAATAATGTCAGGACGACAACCATGTGAGTAGAAATTTGTAGATAGTCAAATTTCAATCCTTACCCAATCTGACTACGGTTCAGATCTGCTTATTTGTTACATGTAGATAAGAATACCACCGTATATGTCTGGTACCAGTGGTTATATGTCAGGTTCCAGTGTTTATATGCCTGGTACCAGTGTTTATATGTCAGGTACCAGTGGTTATATGTCAGGTACCAGTGTTTATATGTCAGGTACCAGTGGTTATATGTCTGGTACCAGTGTTTATATTCATATTTTCAACCTTAGTATCGCCTCAAAATATATTTCAAAACATATATAAAAATACAAAATATATTTCGGCTTGGTGTATAACATTTGACAGCGGCTTTGGTTTGTAGACATTATATGCCATACAATTTAACACCAATTTATTTATATTTGAAGTTTCTTTTAATTTCTCATTTCTTTCAATCGGGGACCTTAAAGTATTACACGACACGAAAGTGTTTAACGCTGAAAGTGCCTTTATATTTTACGTGGGCTACAATAATCATTATTTGTATGGGACTGCGAGAAATAACATTATAAAGTGCAATCGTGTACTTTTCAAGCTAGATTTAGTTATTTCTTTTCCATTCAAGAAATTCCGAACAAATATCAAATAACTGCGACTGCTGTGTAACATATTGTACTAATATTGTCCGCTGAATTCTTATAAGTCACGATTCGATGGATAATGCATAGGAATTCAAATTAAAGCGGCGTGTATGAACAACAAAATGTTGATAAATACAAAGGGAACGAATTTGTTTATTTACGATACAACATGCTACGTTATAAATAATAATTGATTAGAACATTGTACTTTTCTTCAGTGTTGTTATATTTTCCTGTTGATTTTAGCAGTTTTAAGTGTTGACAATTGAATACCACTTAAGCCGGTGCTAGGGGCGTAAGGGATGTTGCATTTTTTAAGTATCCCCCATGTACAGACTCAATCAAACTGAGTCTTCTTTTTCCGTGTAATTTTGTTGTGATTAAAGCTTCCGAGGGATCACCCTTGTTCCAGATTTTCTTATTTCAAATGTTTAGATGACGTCAAAGTTGGACGCTAGACATCATTTTTTAAACAAATAAAATACATTAACAAATGAGCCGCGTTACGACAAAACCAACATAATGGGTTTGCGACCAGCATGGATCCAGACCAGCCTGCGCATCCACGCAGTCTGATCAAGATCCATGCTGCTCGCCATCAGTTTCTCTATTTGTAATAGAGTTTGGTTAGCGAACAGCATGGATCCTGATCAGACAGCGCGGATGCGCAGTTTGGTCTGGACCCATGCTGGTCGCAAACCCATTATGTTGGCTTTGTCATAACACGGCTCAAATGAACATTCAAATAATTGATACGAATATAATTATAGAAAAATATCAACAAAATACAAACTGTTGTCGAATCAGATGATAATTACAAGATTTCAAATTGTTAAACTTGTTTTTGTTACAGATGGACACATAAGAACGCAGAAAAGATTGATTTTTCAATGGACAATAGAGGCGTCATCGGTCGAAAGCTACAGTTTAAATGGTGTAAACGAGAGATATTATTGAAGTAAGTCTACGATTACGCATTCATCGTAAGTTCGTGAAATTCCGGCATACCTCGCCATTTTCCGTGTTTTGTTAGGACCTAACAAGCATCGGTATGATTAGGATTACCGAAAATTCATATTAATACAGTATTTTTCAAATGGTTAATAAATCACGGAAAGTGACGAAGTGGGTTGAGCTTTTGATGCATGGTATCCCGGAGGAAATACAGAACAAAACAATATGCACCAATTCTTCATTTGTAAGTGGTACCCAAAACCTTGGATTAGTAGCGGCGGGGATGGGGGTGCTGGGTAACAGGCGATATGTTTAAGTTTCGTTACCAAAACGCCGAACTTTTAAAGGGGCGATAATCGCGACTTATTCTTTTGAAGATTAATTGGGACAACGTGACTGTTTTTCTGTAACATTTTATTATACATTTTGATTTTTATGATTATTGGTCAAATATCTTTCACAAACATACTTTCAATTATAATGAAAAAAAATCCAGGGTGGTTCAATAGTTCTATTTGAAAGACCTTGGTCCCTTATATGATTAATACAGTTTTAACATGTTCGACAAGAGCGACAATAAATCTTGCCTGCTAATGTTTGCGACGGAAAGTGACGAAGTTTGCCGACATGTCAAGAGTTATGTAATAGAAAGAGCATGGAAACACGAGGCTATCTGATTAGTACGAGGGGGCGTAGCCCCCGAGTATGAATCAGATTGCCGACACAGACACTTGGGGTTTGGAGCTCAAAACGCCTTTAAAATCCAAATAAAATGCATATTTGTCAATCCCAGCACATGTACTGATCATATATATCAAAAAATCTTAATATATGCCGTTTTGAAAAAAAAATCATATTTCAACAACTATAATAATACACTGCACTCCAGTAAACGCACAGTGCATGTATATGTATACCATTTAACTCTTACACATTTTCAACAGAAATGTTCCCAAACTATGATACAAGATACTAATATTACAGCTTACTATAATTCATGTTCGATATTTTCTTTTTCAGGCGACCAAAATTTCTCGTATTTTCAGACCATTTTACACGTCCTGTGTATAGTAATGAAAAGGAAGAAATACAAGAGGCACTTACCAAATTCCTACGCTCATTATTTCCAGTTCCTTCACAATTTGAAAAGAAGCAAACACTTTAAGGATGAACGACTGGAAACAGCGCATTGAACAACATCTAGAGGATCGGCATTATTCCAGCGATTTTCTTTAGCAGTTTTCATTACCAACCGATTACACGCTATGCAGCTGACGTTAGTGGGACACATGTTACCAACTACACATGAATGCATATTTTCTACACAGATTTCCATTCAATTAAATATGTTTGTACACATTTTGTCGATGTTGTAACCTACGTTTTCTATATGTTTTGAAAGCGCTAGCAGAGTGTTGCAAAGATATAGTTTGCTTGATTATTTTTAGACGAAAAATTGTCCAAAAAAATAAAAATATATATATATAAAAAAAAAAAAAAACGCACAACAACAGCAGGTTGTCCGTGGGAATGTCCGTAGCATGTTTGTGTGATTTGCTTTTTAGATGGGGTTTTGTACTTTTCTTTATTTTTTTTTTTGTTGATGTTGTTCTTTTTTTTTACTTTTTTATTATTATTTTTTTATATCTTTTTTTATTTTTATTCTTTTTTTTTTTATTTTATTTTTATTCTTTTGTTAACTTTAAAAGAACTTGTATTTGTTATGTTTTATTACTGTATGCAAGATTCAATTTATCACGTAATACCATAAGCCTAAATGAATTAAAATCAAAACAGCAAATGACGTAATCCTGAGGTACTTATAATTAATGCTATAAGAATCTTAAATCAAGCCAATCATTTGGCGGGAAATATTTAGTACAACGAATTAGTGATGATGACAAATTGTCGCACAAACCAATGATCTTAACCACCTGTACGTAAATCTGTCTGTTTGTGCGTGCGCGCGTACGTAAGTGTGTGTGCTTGCGAGCGTGCGTGCGTGCGTGTGTGTGTGAAATTTGATACTTGGCTGTTACACTTTTTGATAAAATTCATCAAGCATGCATATTGTTATTTGTTGAATAAATACTCAACATTCGAATATGTGCAACATGCTGTTTTTATTCTTCAGTCACATAGTTAGATGTTATTGAGAGTCGTTACAACGGCCATATCAATTTATCAGTTTATATAGAATAAAGCACAAATTTTATTTCGTAACTTATGCAAGACAGTGTTACAGTACGCAAATAAGAACATGATATTCTGTATTGTATAATGGACATATATAATTATATTGCAGCAGCAATAGTATTGTGACAACATTATTACACTTTGGTTTAAACAATATTTATTTTCAATAAATTGATTACATAATATAGCATACATAGTACACATGAATAATTACAAAGAGATTTAACATTAAAATGAATCTACAATGTATACAGAAATTAATGAGTGTACTTAACATGTAATCAGAAAGCTAAAAGCTTATGCTAAGCCTCTCTTCTGACTATCGTGCTAAGCTGGTGCAGTAATCAATATATAATAATATTTTTGAGGAAACTACAAAGAAAAAAGATATATAAATAAACAAGAACGTGTTTGTTAAACACAAATTATTACGCTTTGAAAAGATACTTTATAAATGAGGGTGATAGTATATACAAGCAAATATTACATCCCGCAGAATGTTGAAAGCGGTGCCAGTCAAAACGTTAACCGAGGTGGAAATTATCTTACCAACAGACAAAGGATGAAGGATAATTTCTTTTGAATTAATTTGAAATATGCAAGAAAAAGAATCAAGCTTTACATGTTATTAAAATATGATATCAGAAACAGTTTAAGCGGAAAAAATCTTGGGTGACCGTTCTTGAATTTGAGTTATCTGTCCCTGTATCAATATTTTTTTACTTACTTGAGGTCATTTCAAGGGTAGATAACTTACATACATACATCAATGAATTCTTGTTTTTACTTCTGGATTATGTTTTTGTGCGTGTGTTTGTTGAAGTCCAATTCAAGGGATGATAACTCAAAAATAAGAACGGTGATCCGCTTAAAATCTTTCTGTTATCATATTCTAACAGCATCTTACATGCCAAATTTAAAGAAAATCTATTGAAAAGTTTTTAATTTACCTAAATGTCAATATGAAAACTCTCGAAAACGTCCTCAATATATTAATGACTATGATCTTGGTATGGTTTATAATTGTTGAAGTAAGTAGACATTTATGAATGAGTCTTAAATTTGTAACTCCCATACGAAGTAAATAATAACAGACTATAGAAAAAAGGGTGAATCAATAGGAGATATTTTATAATATACGTCCCTGCTAAAAGTAAAGGCCAGGACATGTATATCCGGAATACTGTAAGTCTCTTGTGTCAGAATTTCTTGCAAGTGATCTACATTGTTTACAACGCAGAAAATATTTATATTTTTGCATTGCGACAGATATGGTATTGATATATAATAAAACATCTTAACTCTTAAACTTTTTTCTGCGTGGTGTCCGTCCGATTCCAATAATTTTGACCTATTTATAAGACAGTGTCTAACTGACCGTTAAATGAGCAGATTGGGTGTGTGGCGGAGTAGGTGACATTGCTCTCGTATTAGGAACAACTTCTTTGTTAGCGACATAAATAAACACGACAAAACGTGCGTTTTATTTAATATATAATGATTCCGATTCAATTACTGTTATAAAACATTTAATTTGTATTTTCCAAGGGTCAGATATGAATAATAGATTATGAATGTCGAAACAAGTTTCGTTTGAAAGCAGATCTGCTTCCCTTTTCATGTTTTATCAAGCCTTCAATGGGTGGCGAAATAAATAGATGAAAAGAACACAAATTTGTAAACAGGTCATGTAAATAATTCATTTAAATGGCACCATAAGCCATAATGAAAAGGGATGAAAAGTGAAAGAAGTTATTTGCACGTCATCTTGACAAGGTATTAACTAGTGTAAGAGCGTATGTGTTTTGTACATTTTCTCAAATGACAGCCATTTAGAATGTCCGTACGAACCATGCCTTTTATATAGAAAAACTGTTAATCATTCCACACCATTTGTGACCTTAATTACTGACACGTTTTCTCGAAGAAGAGATCGCCGGAAAACTATAGGAACGTTGGCTTTGTAGTAATATGTGCAGTCACCTTTTAAATCTAATCTCCAAGCAAATGCTTGAAAGTAATGTACCATTACACGACACAGCTCTTCGGCTGTTACTAAATGTAGATCAAGTATGTGTATGTATTCTATGCTTAATGATGGTCCATCCGCCCGTTAAGGCACAAAATGCAGCTTTTGCTCTCGATTACGGAGCCTTGACGTGTGCTAATTTCTAAGCACAATGGTTGATAATTTATCTCTTTGCAATTTCTTCAGAGTATTAGCCAAAGTACTGTACAGCGGCCAATAGGAATCTTAATGTATAGTATCTTGAAACAATTTGGAAAGGGCTGTTATGTCAGCTATGGGTATTTCTTTCAAGCCGTCCATCTGTGCTTAGGGCGCAAGCACATTTCTTTTGTTGTCCCTGCCTACTTTGCAGAGCCACTCTTCCCTCGGTTTTAGTCAGGACATTGGCAGCTGAATCGTAGGTTGCAATAGTTCTAAGCTTAACTCCCCAGCGACGAAAGGGGACCTACCATATATGTACAAAATGTACAACAACAACGTTCGGATCTTAAACAGTCAATGTGTCCTCGGTGATAAATCAGCCAAGCTCCAAATCTCCTGCCGATGTCTACGTCGTGCAAGTACCGAGGGGAAGAAAAATATACTATTTGTAAGCGGCTTTGCTTTATAGAGGGTATAAAATAATTTTACATAGCTAGGTTACAGAAAGAATCGTTCGAACCAATCAAATTCAATGTAACAAAATGATTGGTTATTCACTGTGGTTTGATTTGACTGGCTGATGTGTTAGCGGGGCAGTATCGCTATAAGCTTGATAGATCACAAGTGAAATTATCGTTTTTAGGCAATGTTTCGTTCATAATCGTAAATAAAATTGTTATTGGAAGATGATACTGTTTAAATTGAAAACTTAAGAAACTTCGGACTGCTGGTGGATTGTAAATCATTAATCCTTCCATTACATCATTATCCCAAGAAATGATGCCATGGAGAATACATATAAAGCAACTACAACTCACAAAATCCATACAAATGCAATATGTACACTTTGGATATGACCACCAATCAAACTAAAGATGACTTAAATTTGGTAGCCTTAAAATTTTCAAGGAGTATTTTTTTAGGCTACAACGGGTACGTTGGGTCTTATTCGTACCTGGGTGACCCCTCAAGCGCTTGTCCGATATATACCGGAACACATTTTCCGTATTTTCATTGGTGTCTTGTCGGGCTACTTTATTCTAACTTCAGCCAATGCGGTCTCTCCCCGGTACGGAATAGACCCGACCCGTTGTAGTCTAGAGAATAGTTCTTTGAAATTTTGAAGTGCCCTATTTCAAGTCATTTTTGGTGTGACAGGTTACATTTTAAGTGTATTTATTGTAACAATGTACATTTGGTATAATTCCTGATGACTTTAAAAGTTTTTGTGTATTCTACATGATCTCATTATTTGGTGGAAGGATTCGAGAAGCACTACACGCCAGCATACATGACATTTGAAACTTTGATAATTTGACAGTGACTTAACAAATTAAGAAATATTTTGAAAACTAGATGGCTAACATATGATATTTTGGACTTCGACTGACTTGTCTAGTGTTAATGTTTAAAGTTATGAAATACAGAATTCTGCAGAGTTTAATAGAAGTCCAGAATTAAGCCTGATATCTGACAGATTTAATACAATGTATAGAATAAAGAAGGCGAAAATTGAAATGGCCGAGTCCATACACAAATGTTAAGAGGAAATCATTCAAGTTGTAATGTCAAAATAAAGAGAAAAATGTATATAGTAAATAGAAATTTCAAGTTATTTTCTATAAATACAGAATTTATTCTCATCTTTTGGTATAATTTTTTTCATATTTCATACCACTCGATGAATTCTTTGGAAAAATCAACAATTGATTATCCTCTATGCATAGACAATTATACTGTGTTTTTTCTTTCTTCTCCTACTACTTCATAATTTTCTTTCTTGTTATTATTTGTTGACGCTGTTTTTAATTATCAATACATGATTTCGGGTAACACGGCTGTCGTGAAAATTAAAAAAGAGCCCGTCAATTGATAAGTTAACAGGACACTTCTGACACCAAACAACGTACCAGAGACAAGATATTTCTGGCTAATATAATTAAGACACTTCGTGTGATTTTAAAAAGGTTATGCTTTTCTATCGCTATACCTTTATAGTATAGTTAAGATCCCCATATATCTCAATATGAATTTAGGTATTGATAAAAAGCATGCATCATATTATCACTGCAAACAAAGCATATCATTGCATACTGTATTATAATCCCAACTACAATACCACTGTTTGCAAACTAAAATGTCAAAGAATGATACATGTAAGAGGATTTTAAGTCAATACAAGAAGTGTTACAAGACCTCTGTGGACTGAGCAAACATCGCTCTAACGCTAATTAGGGGTGATGAAGAATACACGATGACTCTGATCGGTCCTATATAAAGTTGCAAAAGGTTCACAAAACCACACAACAGCAATCACGTACTGTTGTCCGAGTCAATTTAAACTTGAAACCAAATTTGTCGTGTATTTTTTTATCTTCATGGAAATAAACTTTAAATAAAACAAATATGCATTATATGAAGATTTGAGACAACCTGAAGTCCTTAATTAGTTAAAGCTGCTGTATTAGGAAATATTTACGCACAACATATGGTTGTGATTCAACTCCTCAGTTTACACCACAAAAGATAAAGACTCAATTTTCTTTTATGGTGTACGTGTATGTTGCTATAAGAGGGTAAATACACATTAGTGTGGTTATTTTTGTAGTCATTGTTGTGCATATAACATGTACATCTGCAGAAGCACAAGGGTGCATTTATATAGCCAGAGCCCACAAAGCGATGGAGGGCTAATGCTCGAAAAAAATGGTGTATTAGCGCTAATTTTGCAAACAAATATAAATATACAGGCCTTATTATAGGCAATGCAAGTTTTCGCTATAAATAAACCGGTTTTTTCGTGCTTTCAAAAAAAAATCTTAAACACATATCAATAAGATGATAATTTATTAAAAGCAAATATCACACTACAAGCAAACATCGCAAACAACATACTAGAATTTCATTTTATGTACATAAAGTATATTTTTCATAGTATATAAATAGAATTTTTTTAAATCGTGATTTTTTTGTTTTGGATAGAATTTCGGGTTCCTGTGTGATTACGAATAATCGTCGAGGTAAAGTAGTGTGGGAGGAAAGTATTTAGCGATGTAAGCCTATTTACTTTATGATTTTTTTTCCATTGAAAACTTACGCAAGCACCGTGTAAACAGGAAGTAGCATGCGAACTTATAAATAATTTTTCTATTTGTGTTTATTCAGCAAAAGACATCTTCTCGTGGACAGAAAACATTTTAGAAATCATGAAAAGGTAAACATTATTTACGCATATATAGGTTTTTGTACATAATTAATGTTGTCAGAAGTTTCCGTGAAAATCCCACTTGAATAGTGCTCGGATAGTAATTAAAAAGGAAGTGGCTAGCCGTACAGGCCCGTACGGCTAGCCAAAAGTTCTAGCCGTACGTGAGTCACGTACGATTAGCCAGGACACACTGTATAGGCTAGCCGTACGGCACTTTTCAAAAATATATATTGAAGCACAGGAGCTTGAAATTCTATCAATAATCGCTCAAAAGTCCGATTTAAAAAAAAAATCCATACCTATATATAAAAAAACACAAGGAAGGAAACAACATTTTTACCCCACCCACTTTAGACAACAGCAATTTGCCGATAATATCATTTGTCACGTAAATATCCGAGCTAAAACAAATTAAGTAAACATATAAACACTATTTAACTATTAACGGTTATCAATTTCGGTCCAGTCACACAGATTCCTCACGTAAACTATAGGTTTAAGTTCAACACAGGTTCCATTTACCCTGTTGTTGTTGTTTTGCTACGGACTGAATAATTAACTTTATTACATTATTAGTATAATATTACAAAAATGAGCCAGTAGCACCTGTTAAACATATGTTTATTATTCTCAATATTTGTGTTAAATAATAAATATTTTAAACTTATTCAAACTTTAATTTTAAGAGATTTCTAAAAAAAATTACACAAAATTGGAAAACCCCAAACTAAAAATAGGGCAAGGGAGATCACTTTTGTCCAAATACACCGCGAGTTATTTCCTTTTATTCAGTCCGTAGCATAACAACAACAACAGGGTAAATGGAACCTGTGTTGAACTTAAACCTATAGTTTACGTGAGGAATCTGTGTGACTGGACCGAAATTGATAACCGTTAATAGTTAAATAGTGTTTATATGTTTACTTAATTTGTTTTAGCTCGGATATTTACGTGACAAATGATATTATCGGCAAATTGCTGTTGTCTAAAGTGGGTGGGGTAAAAATGTTGTTTCCTTCCTTGTGTTTTTTTTATATATAGGTATGGATTTTTTTTTAAAATCGGACTTTTGAGCGATTATTGATAGAATTTCAAGCTCCTGTGATTGAAGGCGAAAGTGCATATGTTAATTATGTCTTTAAGCGAGGGTTTTAGTCAAGATTGTTTACTTTTTAGATCGACGTGTTGGCTACAGTAAATAATTAACTTTGTCATCTCAAGACGTCGAGAAAAAATAGCGTTTGGTTGCAGTTAAATAACATCAATTGAAATAGTTTACAAAATTTGATAATAATCTTTTTTTGTTTCATTAAGTTTAATTTTTAAACTGAAAAAAAAAACACCGAAAAAAATTGTTGTTGGGCTCTGATAATTGCGACAATTACCGCCGGTATAGAAGTTTGTCCATCGTCCATCATTAAGAAAAGTTTGCATTATTAAATTATTTTTCCTTTTCATCGTTTTTTTTTTAATATTCTTTTTATTTATTTATTTACTTCCCTCCGATCACTATTTATTTGATCCATATGTCAGGGCTCGAGCTAGTGGGCGATTCGGGCGAAATAGTCGCCGAATTCCGTCTGACTTCGCCGACATCCTACATGAAAGCGAAGATGAAGTCGCCCGATTTTATTGATCCATTATTGAAAATTACCAACAATAACTGTGAATAACATGTTGTGTGTGTTTGCTTTGTTTACCCTCGCCGCCGGAAAAAGGGACTGTCATGCATCTCAATCAACGCGAAATGTCATTAATCCGTTTGTTTACCAACATGTCATAAAAGTCTAATTAACAGACACTCGTGGAACAATTAGACTCCGCCCACGGCGAGATTACCGATACGTGCGAGAAACCAATCGTAATTCACGTTTTAATCGAGGCGACATTATTAAACCAATCATTAAATCGCTAACATACTACTACCCGTAACAATAATTTATGATGGACGGATCAAACGTCAATTAAATTTTCACTATCGAATGATTGTCAGAATTAAGAGGACCGCTCGACATATAACTGTAACGGTAATTTTAAATGAAAATTATGATAACCTTTTTTGTCGACGAGTTAAATTTGATAAAATTGACGGCGTATAACAATGTATTTGTTACAAATGAAGTTAAATTAAAGATCGTTTCTTTCGTTATCTACTTTCATTTTCTTTACAACATAAGTGAATATGAATAAAATGTCCGGCGCAAGCTTTTTAATAGTAAATCAGAAGGGAATAACTGTTAATCCACCCATGATATTATCCATGATAGGAATCAACTATGGCTTTTTTATCTTCATTTAATGCAATGGTTGCATTACATGATACTCATTCTTTTTACTTGTTTCAAACTACTTTTAAATTAAAATTGAATATTCTGTTGTAACACAAATCCAATTCATTTAATAAGATATGTACAGTGAGTCAACATAATTGCGATAACATACAACAAACATCGATAAATGAATCTCCTCACTTCTCCCTAAAGTCTCCCCACTTCTCCCTAAAGCAGCTGGAGGGAGAAGTGACTTCTCCCTAAATTTTGAACCTAGCTTGAGCCCTGTATGTGATTAATTAACAGATTTAACAATTCATCTTTCATACAAATCATAAGCATGAAAATTAAGGACGTTATAACATGCAACTTAATTTGACACTCAATTTTATTAAGATAGACAACGCTTACTCGTATTTATTTTTTTATGCAAAATTGCGGAGCATCTTTATTAAAGTGAACACACTAGGACAAATGCGGAGATTTTATTAAAATTGTTGTTTAAAGACACAAAATAACAAATGCATTTTCGACTTCCATATAATTTTGAAAAGTGCCGTACGGCTAGCCAATACAGTGTGTCCAGGCTAGTCGTACGTGACTCACGTACGGCTAGAACTTTTGGCTAGCCGTACGGGCCCGTACGGCTAGCCACTTCCATTAAAAAAAACTTATTTTGATTAACAGTTTTCAAGAATGAAGGTGAGAAGAAAATTTAAGATGTTAAAATGTTGTTTATGAATTCAAAATGACTTATGTTATTGTTTACATTAGTTTATATGTATAAATTTGCTAGTAATAGAAGTAGAATGTGTAAATTGTGTTGTACAATGAATATTTTCTCAAAGTAGCATGCCTCCAGATTCATGCTAATTTTCCTGAAAAATTTTGAAAATGTATTAAAAAGTAAAATATTGTGAAGTGAACAAAGAAAGTATTGAGGTGATGTGATAGCTCAATTGGTTAGACCACTGGCTGTCACTTTTAAGGTCATGGGTTTGATCCTGGTAACAACCTTGGGATTTTTCAGAGACACTTTCAGTGTTACCCACCTAACTGGAGGTGTACTGGTAAGAAATCCAGGGAATTCTTGCATACATGTATCAGTGTATACACTGGGCATGTAAAAAACCAAGCCGGGGGTCTATCCAATAAGAGGTAGGGACTGGTTCCCGGATTCCCTTGTATCTCATAGTTGTTTCTGAAGTGACTATTCTAGAGTCATGTCTACGTCCTCGCGAGGGGTTGACATTAATGGAAAATAGATAACTGAAATTAACACATTGCAAATGGAAAGTTGTTTTAATCAGACAAAGCAATGCATTGGGACCAGACAATTATGGTCGCTTGTCACATATGACAGGGAGTCATATAATTCAGACCATTTATATACATGTAGGAAAATACGTCGGGAGGACTGAAACAAGGTCGGGTAAGACAGGGAGTCGTTGAAATCAGGAGGTCGCTAAGGCAGTCTCGACTATATTGACATGATGAGGAGAGAACATAATTTTTCAAATAATATTGAAATTTTTAATATTTCAATCAGTCATTTTTTTTCTGAATATATTTTACAGTCTTGAGTAATATGCTTAATCGGCGTTATTACCTCCTTTTTTCCTCCTATTTAGTTGAAGTAATGTTTTCCTTTTAAATGATTTAATGGTTCTGTAATTGCAGTTTCAAAAAGTTAACTATGCTCAGATTTGATATTCGCAATTATTCATATTGCTTTTATACACAGTGTCTTTGTCAATTTTTTTTTATGAAATAAATATGTTTTAACATCACACAAAGTAGATATGTTATGTTAAAAACTGTACATACAAAAAATGATACAATATGTGGTCACAATACATGTATGAATTTATAGTTTCATTAAAAAAACTGGCAAATATTAGAAGAAAAAACAAACTTTGCTTGACCCATATTAGGGAATAGCCTACTGATTCTAATACATTACTAAAGTTCATTCATTCTTTTATTCAAATTAGACATAGTCAGTAAGAATTTTATAAATTTCTGAGATTAAAATATTAAAACTGAAGGACAAGCATAGTTTATCTTTAGTTACCAAATAAACATCTCTAAATATGTAAATGAACTTTAAGTATGGTTATGATACATTCTCAGTTGTCAGCATTTTGATTTCAGCTTTTCCAACTTTATTTTCCCCTTCAGAACACCATGATTGCTTTGGAAAATTAAAAAAAAAGATCACCGTAGAATTTTTGATTGGACATTTCAGGTGCCAGGTGTGTTCAGAGGCGGAAGCCAAGTACCGATGCCCTCGATGTAATACTGAGACGTGTTGTTTAGAATGCGTCAAACAACATAAAGTCAATACAGACTGTAGTGGCCAACGTGATAAAACTGCTTATGTTAAATTGAGTGATTTCAATGACAGAAATTTACTGAATGGTAAGAACTTTGTAAACTCACCAGTAAGACCTATTGTTTGTTAGACGTTGCCAATATTTTAAAACTGTCAGGAAAGGCCTATATTTTACGTTTGACACTGCAGGGATAGATACCTGAGCGAATTGTTAAACCGAAGAGAACAAAAGTTTTGAAAGCCACTTGGGGCCAAGAGGAGGAAGGATAAAGATGTGCCAATGTCGTGTTGTCTGTCTCTAGACTAAAAACTTGGATGTGTGTGACTGCCTGTTGGGTGCGTGGGGGGACATCCTTGTTCTATAGGCATAGTTCTTTGTTCATTTCTTGGATGTCCCTTTGTGGCTGAGGGTTTGCCCTTAAGGGTGGAGGCATCAGAATTGCAGCCAGTGTTTATCCCTGCATGATGGTAACAGGCAACTAAATAGGTTTGAATTACTGGAGTCTATGCACCTCGTAAGTCCAGCAGGTGTTGTGGTTTGTGGTTGTTTTGACAAGTAAGTCCAGCAGGTGTGGTTGTTTTGACAAGTAAGTCCAGCAGGTGTTGTGGTTTTGACACCCGGTGTTGTTCAATGGTAGTTGGTTTGTACACTTAAGTTAACAGAAGTCATCTTTACAGTTTTGGTGCTAAATGACTTAAATTTTGTAAACCGAACAAAAACAAAATTTTTTTGATTGCGTTGAGTACTATTTACTTGTTACCAATCAAGTAAAAGTTTATTTTGTTGGTTACAGATTACAGACTTTTAGAAGACACTGGGCGGAAAAACAATAATGCAGCCAGGGATGTCTTAAAAAGAAAACATAACAGGCCAAACTTTGTGAGTCACTTTATTTCGGTATCAAATTTAACCACTTTATTTAATTTCTTTATGATTTATCTACATTTTAGTTAAAGGTTTGTCAATTTTATCTCATAAGTTTAGATCTGCAATAAATTTGATTTCTTTTATTTCAATGCCAGACTCAATTACATGTATATCTCATAACCATATTTAACCACTTTAACTTAAGGTGACAACGGAGTCAATTATCGCTGAAAATACCTAAAATGAGATTTTTTGCTAAGTAGATTTATCAACCTTTTCTGAACACATTCGTGATTTAATTTTGGAAGCAGGTAGTCCAAAAAATGTGTTTTTAAACGTTTTAAAACGGTACCTATACTATTTGTAACTGCTACTCGCGTAACCTGTCGATTATCGATAACGCTCCGCCCCCTGTTGAGGCATCAATGAGGGAAATCGGTAGTTCCATATATCCGTGAATTACAGGTCCATACTTCTCGTAATACATGTATCGTACAACTACCGTACATCTTTTATGAATATCTCAACATTTAGCCTTTTTTATAAATTAAGAAATTGTCGGCCAATGTACGTAACATAAATAATTAAGCATAGCGGCAAATCGCACAACCACGGGGTTGAATAAAAATGTAGTTGCTAAAATATCCATAATGTGTGAAAATAATTTGTCTGTCCCGTTAATCTGATAGATATTACATTGAGTTGATAGACTTTTGTACGGATTCAAGGGCTTACTTTACATTCAACCTCGTTTTCTATCAATGTCGAGTAAAACAACAACAAAAACAGACAACATTTTTATGTGAACGCCTATATGACTTGTGGTAAGGTGTACCTGACAAATTTCTAAACCATTTTAGATTGTCTAAGGGTGATTATTTCTCTATGAATAAAAAAAAGATATTAAAATATATTTCCAGTGAAAATAAATTGTTCGCCAGTAAATCGGACACAGTACTAATAAATCTGGGACAAAGTATGAAATTTATTGTCTATCCCGGTAGAAACTGGATCTCTATGCCGTGCATAGATGATATTCATAATAGAAGTCAAGAAGGCCATATCATAATGATCGAGTAATACCTTTTATTTCTATTAAAATATGTGAAGCATTATCAATTTGGTGGAAAAAATATATAATATCCCGTTCTTATTTTGTACATCTACCATGGACTTTAAAAGACTGTCAGAAGCTTAGTTTTTTGTTATTTTATTTTATATTTTAACGGAATTTCATACACGAATACACAGGCAGAGTGACACTGGTATAATACAATAATAATGCTGATGACACTAATAATAAACTTCAAAAAGGAAACAATTAAATACCCCGCTAGCGGTGCGCAAATGCGTTCCATTTCCCCCCACTGAGTGCCTCAAATTTTACCGATAGTCACGTGACATGTGCGACAGATACCAGACGAACAGTAAATCACGTTAATTAGAATTGAAGAAATTTCGGCTATAAACTGATATTAATCAGCAGCTTTTTAATTGGTCAGATGTCACTGGGTCATAAAATGTTGTTAGAGTATGTTACCGCAACTTGTGACCCTCTCTGGTGCGATATTTGTGTATTATGCAATTATTTAGCGTGAAACGTAGGGGTCCGAGAGAGAACAGCCGATTTATGACACTTCGTTTGATGCGGGTCGGACTTACTTTGAATCGGCATAACTTTTTTAATAATCAAGCAATTAACATGCGGTTTAAAGCACATGAAAGGAAATTCATTTACGGAGGGAACCGTGTCAGGGATTTTTGTTTGCTCAATCAGCGACTTAATTATCTTTAATTACGTAATATGTATGGTGAAAAAAAGTCGCATAAAATGTTTGACGTTACGTAATATTTTTTTGAGAAAAGATAGAAAAAATTTGAGACACGGTTCCCCAGATAATATAAGTAAGGTTATTTTCCAAAAGTTTGATGACAAAAAAATAAAAAATGACTTTGATATGACGATTTAAAATTTTAGGATTTTTATTCAAAATCAATCATTTACAAAAGCATTTTTTTCAAATATGTTATTTTTTATGCTGATCAGCGACATTTAATGCATAAAGATTAAATAAATAACAATTATTACTAAAATAACTTGGTTTAAATTACATTTATGTGAGTACCACGGAAAGTGTCTGTTGTCACCTTAAGTACTGGAACTTTATCTCAGTACCAGATTTAACCACTTTAACTAAAGTACTGGATCTTTATCACAGTACCAGGTTTTACCACTTTAACTCACTGCTGTATATAATTAAGTCATATTTTGTTAAATTGCAATCTAACATATATTTGTATGTTCCAAAAATCTTGTGTTCTGTACCAGTACTGGCCTTAGTGTATAACTTCCAACACATTCACATGAAACAATGAAATGATATCTATTTATACATGTAACTCAATGAAATAACAATGCCTTTACATGGACTTATTGAAATGACTGTCAAGAAAACAAACTTGAAAATTATGTAAGATTCATACAGACTTTATATACAAACTGATATTTACAGCTTCGAGAGTTAGAGAAACAAGCTGGTATAAGGAAAATAAACCTACGCTTGATGCCGTATCCAATGTCACGTCGTAAAAGTAACTCAACCAATTATCAAAACAGGTAATACCATGGTATGTTATTTTTTTTGATATGTAGATAATTTTGTTTGAAAATTCACCCAAAACATTTGCAGAAGCATATTTCATAGCAATTGTCTTGACAAAAAATGGTCAGCAAAATTCATACAATGGACATTTATAAACAAGACACACGTATGACAAGAACATGTTTTTTACCTGAAAGCATTTAAACCAGTATGAAAAAGAATTACAGACAAGTAATTAGAGCCGCTCATGACAAAACCAACCGCTATCAGTTTCTCTACTTGTAATAGGGTTTGTAAGCAAACAGCATGGATCCTGATCAGACTGTGCGGATCCATGATGGTCGCAAACACATTACGTTGGTTTTGTCATGACGCGGCTCATTAATACTTTAAATAAATTATCAAATATCTGTGTATCATAGATATTTTGTTGTCTGCTATTGATATCCTCAAGATTTGTTTTGCACTGAATCATTGACAGCTTTAAATAATATACAATGTATTGTTAGAATATGAAGAATATGAATATTAATAAACTGATCATAGTGAAAATGCATCAACACAGGACTTGTATCTGGACCCGGCTTATATATTTGACAGACTATAAGAGTCTTAAAAAAAACATATAATTGAAAAGGAAATTATGTGACATTTGAGGCTTTATAGAGTATTATAGAGTATTCTTGAAAAAAAATTAGATTGATCTTATTGTCATTATCATGCCACAGACTTAGATTTAAAGGGAACCTTGCTGCCTAACTTTTGGCAAATGTTATAATCACTGACCTGTAAGCTTTTATATGATTTTTGACTGTAAATTATTTATGTAAGACAAAAAAATAATGTTGGATATAGTTTATGTTTTTCTAAATATCTCATGCCATACCATTGCCTGATTTGAAAATAAAGTACAGGCAGGCAATTTTCGCGGCGAAAAAATTGGCTCAAAGAAAAAATTTGCCAGTTCTAGCCCTGATAAGACCCTTCGTATGAAATGGTTGTTTGCATCAAGCAGCTTGGGTTATATTCCAAACAATCGTTAACATACGGCCATATAACCTTTCATGAATCTTTATGACAAATTTTTGATACAGCAAACATTCTTTATTAGAAAAAAACCCTGTATTATGCCATAAATTGACAGCAGCCATGTATATAATTAACATAAACATCATAATTATCCAATGAAAAGCAACGTTACAAACATGCAGTTTTATAATCTCGATTTTTGACAAGTTATATGGTCAAATATAAACTGTTATGAGATTTTATAACCCAAGTCTCTAGCTGAGCATTATATTGCAAACAACCTTTAATACATGTTGTTTGTATTTTTAGCTCACCTGTCACAAAGTGACAGGGTGAGCTTTTGTGATCGCTTTTCGTCCGGCGTCTGTCCGTCGTCCGTCCGTCGTCCGTCCGTAAACTTTTGCTTTAAATGACATCTCCTCATAAACCACTGAGCCAATTTCATCCAAACTTCACAGGAATGTTCCTTTGGTGGTCACCTTTAAAAATTGTTCAAAGAATTTAATTCCATGCAGAACTCTGGTTGCCATGGCAACCGAAAGAAAAATCTTTAAATATCTTCTTTTAAACAACCCTAAGAGCTAGAGCTTAGATATTTGGCATGAAACATCTTCTAGTGAGTGTCTACCAATTTTGTTCAAATAAAAGCCCTGGGGTCAAAATTGGCCCCGCCCCGGGGGGTCATTGATTTTCCCTATATGCATATAGTAAAAACTTAAAAAATCTTCTTTTAAAGAACCGTAAGAGCTAGAGCTTAGATATTTGGCATGAAACATCTTCTAGTGAATTTCTATCAAGTTTGTTCAAATAAAAGCCCTGGGGTCAAAATTGGCCCCGCCCCAGGGGGTCATTGATTTTCCCAATATGCATACAGTAAAAACTTAAAAAATCTTCTTTTAAAGAACCCAAAGAGCTAGAGCTAAGATATTAAGCATGAAACATCTTCTAGTGAGTGTCTACCAAGTTTGTTCAAATAAAAGCCCTGGGGTCAAAATTGGCCCCGCCCCGGGGGGTCATTGATTTTCCCTATATGCATATAGTAAAAACTTAAAAAATCTTCTTTTAAAGAACCATAAGAGCTAGAGCTTAGATATTTAGCATGAAACATCTTCTAGTGAGTATCTACTAAGTTTGTTCAAATAAAAGCCCTGGGGTCAAAATTGGCCCTGCCTCGGGGGGTCATTGATTTTCCCTATATGCATATAGTAAAAACTTAAAAAATCATCTTTTAAAGAACTCAAAGAGCTAGAGCTAAGATATTTAGCATGAAACATGTTCTAATGGGTGTCTACCAAGTATGTTCAAATAAAAGCCCTGGGGTCAAAACTGGCCCCGCCCGAGGGGTCATTGATTTTCCTTATATGTGTATATCAAAAACTTAAAAATCTTCTTTGAAAAAAACCCAAATAGCTAGAGTTTAGATATTAAGCATGAAACATCTTTAAGTAAATATCTACAAAGTTTGTTCAAATAAAAGCCCGGGGGTCAAAACTGGCCCTGCCCCAGGGGTGTCATTGTTTTTAACTATATGTGTATAGTAAAAACTTTAAAAATCTTTTTTTAAAAAACCCAATGAGCTAGAACTTAGATGTTTAGCATGAAACATCTTCTTATGGGTGTCTAACAAGTCTGTTCAAATAAACAAATAAAAGCCCTTGGATAAAAATTGGCCCGGGGGTGGGGGGGCTATATACAGGTGAGCGACCTCAGGGCCATCATGGCCCTCTTGTTTAATTTTACAATTTCGTCTGCTCATCTGGAGGCATGCAGCTTTAATATTTAGCTGTTTTAAACAGGATGCCTACATAGGACATTTTTCTGTATATCTGTGTAAGATATGTTCTCAAACAACGTCCCTGCTTGGTACAAATCACAAAATAAACGATGCTTTAATACATTTGTAAACCAGTGTGAAATGTTATTGTTATGAAGTCAGAAATACCAAAAACAAAAACAAAACAAAAACAACTGAGCAACAACAAACAACACAACAGAACTGTAACAGCAGGAGCAGCAAAACAGTCAAATTTGTGTTGATTTTTTTTCTACTATTATTCTGGTTAGGTTAAAGAAAATGTTTTGGCAGATTGAGTGGGTGTTTGCAGATGTGGATCTAACACTGATAGATAAAAGGTTAGTGAGCCATCATTTTCACCTTGTTTAACTGCATTTAACTAGTGCTGCTTTTTAAGTTTGGAATTGTTCTTTGTTTATATAAAGAATCAAATATATGTACTAGAATAGTTAATCCAATATTATAGACAATAGTTCAACTTTTGTTTACATATAAAAATATGGATGCATACTTTTATTTGTTTATGAAATACATGTAGTCCTAAATATGTTTGTGACCAAGAGCCCTTACACATTATCAGGGCTTTATGCATTGATCCTTTTCTTTTTTTATTGCAGAACTAGGGTCCTTCTTTGCAGAATAAGGGCCCTTCTTGGCGGAATTAGGGCCCTTGTTGACAAAATTATGTCCCTTGTTGGCAGAATTAGGGTTCTTGCTGACAGAATTAGGGCCCTTGTTGACAGAATTAGGGCACTTGTTGACATAATTAGGACCCTTATTGGCAGAAAACCTAATTTTGTAACAGTGTCCTCTAGCTTGAATTGTTGTGCCCCAACTAGAGAGGGGGGGGGGCATTTAGATTTTTCCTTGTTCGTTCGCCAGTACATCTGTCTGCCCTTTCTCATTTTGTGTCACACATAGCCTAAAAAGTATTTAACCAAGAGTCATGGATCTTTACAGGAATTTGCTCAGCATGTGTTGCTGTGCACCTTGGAATTTTTCATGTGGATTTATTTAGTATTTGTAGAGTTATTGCCCTTGACTTAGTAAGAATTTGCAAATTTCAACTTTTGTTACAAGTAGCTCAAGAAGTAATTGACCTAGGGTCATAAAACTTTACAGGAGTATTGACAGCATGTGTAGATGTGCACCTGGGTATTTTAGTATGGATTTATGTAGTATATGTAGAGTTATTGCCCTTAACAAGAATGTTAATCAGCATATGAAGTTGTGCACCTGAGGTTTTACTTGTGGATTCAGTCTGTTTTGTCACAGTTATTGCCCTTAAATTAGAGAAAATTTGCAATTTGTGTTGTGATAGTCATGAAACTTCAAATGAATGGTGGTCAACATGTTTAATTGTGTACCTGGTGTTTGCTTGTTGATTTATCCAGTTTTTTGTGTCGCCTTGAAAAAGGCGACATATAGGGATTACTTTTGTCGGCGTCGTCGTTGTCGTCGGCGTCGTTGTCGGTGTCGGCGTCGGCGTCCCCTTAAGCTTGTCCGGAGCATAAGTCAGTCATTATAAGTTGGATTGACTTCAAACTTGGTATGCATGCTTCTTACAATGACCCGATGTGCAGTGCACAAGAACCGATACTCTGCACTTCCTATTTTTTGAGTTATTGCCCTTTGTTAAATTTCATACTTCATTTTTGTCCGGGCCATTACTCCTAAAGTATAAAAGCTATGGACTTGAAACTTCATAGGATGATAGTTCTCATTAAGAAGAAGTGCAGTGCACAAGAACTGGTACTCTGCATTTCTTATTTTTTGAGTTATTGCCCTTTGTTAATTTTCATACTTTATTTTTGTCAGAGCCATTTCTCCTAAAGTATAAAAGCTATGGACTTGAAACTTCATAGGATGATAGATCTCATTAAGAAGAAGTGCAGTGCACAAGAACTGGTACTCTGCATTTCTTATTTTTTGAGTTATTGCCCTTTGTTAATTTTCATACTTTATTTTTGTCAGAGCCATTTCTCCTAAAGTATAAAAGCTATGGACTTGAAACTTCATAGGATGATAGATCTCATTAAGAAGAAGTGCAGTGCACAAGAACTGGTACTCTGCATTTCTTATTTTTTGAGTTATTGCCCTTTGTTAATTTTCATACTTTATTTTTGTACAGGCCATTTCACCTAAAGTAAAAAAGCTATGGACTTGAAACTTCATAGGATGATAGATCGCATTAAGAAGAAGTGCAGTGCCCAAGAACTGGTACTCTGCATTTCTTATTTTTTGAGTTATTGTCCTTTGTTTATTTTCATACTTTATTTTTGTCCAGGCCATTTCTCAATGATTATAAATGCTTTAGATATGAAACTTAATAGGATGATAGATCTTATTGATAAGAAGTGCCGTGCACAGAAACTGCTGCTCTGCATTTCTTATTTTTTGAGTTATTGCCCTTTGTTGATTTTCAAATTCCATTTTTGTCCTGGCCATTTCTCCTAAACTACATTGTTCACAAGGCGACACATCCGACTCACGGAGTTCTAGTCTAGTAATTGCCCTTGACTTAGTAAACACTGTTCCATTATGTTGTGTTATTTGTTCCTTGAGTTCTTTAGTTAGAATCAACCAACTTTACAGGAATAATGATCAACATCACTGTGAAGCTATGCACCTGAGATTTTGCATGTGGATTTTTTCAGTTTTGTTAGAGTTATTGCCCTTGACTTAGTATAAATTTGCAATTTTCCACTTGTTCATAAGTATTTGACCTGTAGGCCTGAAAATTTACAAGAATGTTGGTCAGAAAGTGTACTTATAGGCCTGAAAATTTACAAGAATGTTGGTCAGAAAGTGTACTTATGCACCTTGGGGTTTTCTTGTGGCTTTATTCAGTATTTGTAAAGTTCTTGCCCTTTACTTAGTAACAGATTTTTAGTTTTCAACTTGTGGCACATGTAGCCCAAAAATATTTGACCTAGAGTCATAAGATTGACAAAACAGTGGAGTGTGGGGGCATCCATGTCCTATGGACACATTTTTAATTAGTGCTCATTTCATACAATTAAATTGTTCTTTTGGTATGGCAACACAATAGTGGTCTGACATAGGTAAGTCATTACATTTGCTAGCATTAAATTTCTTGCATAGCAGACTGGCGTTTCCGTGAGTTTTACCCATGCCGGAAATTTCATCTGGCATGGGGGGTGCCAGATGAGTCGCGTGCCAAACAACAACGTCATTTTAGCGCCATTTATGAATGAACCGCGTTAAAATGACGTCGTTTTAGAAGGGAAATATGTCTTAGGATGACGTCATTTCGCCGTTGTTATTTAAGTTGTAAGTTCATACACTATTGTAAGAAAATAGTTATGGATGAAATGACTTTAATTTCCATGAACATATATCATATTGAGGTAAATCATTTTAAATATGAAATAATATGGCAGAATATGTAAGAAAAAATATCTTTCATATGTTTGCGGTTCGGATCGGAATATCCATCCCTCGGGAACCCGCCCATGGGCGGGTCCCCTCGGGACGGATATTCCGGTCCGAACCGCAACATATGTCAGATATTATTATTGTTAACAAATTTAGGAGCTGGCTCATGCCTGAAGTAATATATAACAGGACACCTGAGTACAGCTGGAAATGTGCCAGGTGGCCCTTATAGTATTGTTGATAATTAAAATCCTTAAATAACAAGCAACAATTTACTATTTTCATAGAATATGTGAAGATGATACCTTAGAATCTGTGCTGGAGAAACATGTCGGAGTTGATAGTGACCCAGTTGTCAGACACAAGATAAAGCCATACATCACTGCCGGTAGAGAAAACTGGAAGCTCTTCATGAGATATGAAAACACCTCTGCTGATAAACCACAGTATGTATCTTTGTTGATATACCGGTACATTTGCTAAGTTTTCTTCTTTTAAGCTTTCCTTAACACATATAATAGAGAAATTTCTGTGATAAACAGCAGTATGTGTTTTTGTTGATATACCGGTACATTTGCTAAGTTTTCTTCTTTTAAGCTTTCCTGTACACATATAGTAGAGAAATTTCTGTGATAAACAACAGTACATGTATATATCTTTGTTGACATGCCAATATTAGCTAAGTTTTCTCCTTTTAAGATTTCCTTCACACATATTTTGGAGTAATTTTTCTGTCCATTTTTTTACTATATTAAAACATAGGTTATGTAGAGATTTTATGCATAGAGTCTTCTTGTTGAAAGTTTATGTGATGTCCCATATTTACTCTGCTATTAGACTGACTCCTATTAAACACAGTAGAATAAGATTATGCTTTGTTTTGGCCCAGTTTTATGTAAAAGCATATGTGTTGACATATTCACAACCATTTTATAAAAATCATTTTATTTTGACTTTTTTCAGATTTTACAAGTTAGATTTGACACAGTCTTTGTTAGAAAACTTTAGATACAAACAGATTGTTGAATATCCCAGCATTCATATTGTTCTTCCCTCAAACCCAAAACAGTACATCACAGGTTTGTACACGATGTCTTTTTGTTGTCGTATACAATGCACATGTATTAACATATTTGATGAAAATAGTTAACTTTGTGTAGTTTGATATAGAGTAAATTTGTACTATTATGTTTTATCACACACTAGTGCAGATTGGCAACTCCGTAAAAATGGTATTGCATATATTTTGACATGACGTCATTAGCGTTATACAAACATAGTGTAAAGATGCACTAAATGTTAAAGTTATACTTTTATATAGGTATGTCAATGAAAAATGACTCTTTTTTTCACTTTAAACAGTCTTTATTTTGGGTATGTGATAAATAGAATATTAGATTTGTGTAAGTTCATCACTGAATTTATTGAACTCGCCAGAGGCTTGCATAGTATAACTTTATTCAACTCATGCAATAAATTCAGTATTGACCTTATACTCATTCATTAGCCTCTATATATTTCTTTTCAATAAAAACTAAGCTTTATAGAATGTAGATCTGTGGCTTTAGTTATAAGAGGTCTAAGGTTGGATTCCCATTCAGGTCTGAACGATATTCAGTATTGGTTGTATAGGTGTCATTTATACAGGAACAAAGAAATGATAATAAAAGTCCATTCAGTTACCTCTCAACACTTCATACATGAAGGAGTCTGTTGAAATGTTCCCTTCAGTGCATTTTTGTGTCGCCTCTACGGAGTAGTGGGTACATATAGGCATCACTTCCCCGTCATCTGTCTGTCACAAAACTTGTCAGGACTACTCGTCAGAAACTACTAATACAAATTCATCCAATCTTTACAGGAATGATCAGTACTTAGTCTAGTTGTGCATAGGCTTATTTAGTTTAATGATTTTTCTAGGAGTTATGGCCCTTTAATTATTTTCATTTTTTAAAGTTTGTCCAGACTACTTCTCTTAAACTACTAATGCAATTTCAATGAAACTTTACAGGATTGATCAGTAGGTCAAGAACTTTAACATATTACAAGGGCTTGAATGATTTTTGGTCGAATTATGACCCTTGAATGAAAAGGGGGCGTCTGTGGGCGAGTGGTTAAGGTCGTTGACTTCAAACCACTTGCCCCTCACAGCTATGGGTTCGAATCCCAACATGGACTTTAGAGTCTTTCATGTGAGGAAGCTATCCAGCTAGCATACGGAATGTTGGTTGTTCTACTCAGGTGCCCGTTCGTGCCTCAAATACTGTATAAGTGGAAAATTTTGCGACATGGAAATATTTGCTATTTTTGCGAATTTAAATTATTCACAAATATTTGATCACGCAAAAATTATTTCTGTTTAGACACACTTTCTTCTATCATTTGAATAATGTTTTCATACAGCATCTTACATCAATAAGTTTGACTGTTAAGGTCCTGAGATTAATTTTTCTCATTGCTTGTTTGTTTAAGTTTGGTCTTAACAAATCACAATGTTTAAATAAAATAATATATGTGTTAATAAGTCTATAGGTTATTCATATAACAAAAGAATGTTTCAAAATATGACAAAGAAATGTCAAATATGACAAAAAAATGTCCTCAGGTCCTTTGTCAAACTTACAATGTGTATTTCAAACAATTATATAAATAATAAAGTATTAAACAACTGAATAGAATGATTACAATAACGGCATATTCTTAACATGTACCTGCCTTATTTATGATATCAAAAAAACAGTATTAAATTCAAGAAATCATGTTTTCTCAAATATTTCCGCATGCATAAAGTCCACATTTTGACATTTGCAGCATAAATATCTACTTATACAGTAGTGCACAGAAGGGCACCTGAGGTCTTCTTCCACCAATAAATAATATGACCTATGTCGGTGTGATGTAAAACCCAATCGAACAAACTAACTGAATGAAAAGGGTGTTAACAAAGTTTGTCGGACTTCTCCTCTTATACCACTAATGTAATTTCAATGAAACTTCACAGGATTAATTGTTAGATCAAGTACTTGCACATAATACACAATTTTTGGCCGAGTTATTGCCCTTGAATTAAAAAGGTGGTTTTTTTTGTGTTACCAGCTACACAAGTTTGTCTGGACTTCTCCTGAGAAACTACTGGTGTTATTTCATTAAAACTTTAGGGGAATAATAAATACCATGTCTCGTGCATCTCAACATTTTTTGGTTCATTGGTTTTTGTCAGAGTTTTGGCCCTTTAATGATTTTAATTTTGAAATTTGTCTGGACTACTCCTGTGATACCATTAATGCATTTCAATTGATTCGTAGCACATAATCTTATGCATATAACACCGGTTTTTATGTTGAATGATTTTTTGCTGAGTTATGGCTATCTTGAGGCCAAACTGACAGCCGTTGTTGAAGATATACTGACCCTTATAGATTAGGTAGATATCACCCCCTGATGAAATAATATATCGTCCTTGATTGGTTTTAAACTATTGTGTTGAAAGGCATGTGATACTATAGAAGAGACGTTTAACTGTATCGAGGTCCAACATCTGTATAGAGACAGAAATATATTCTCCCATTTATTTTCTAATGAAAAATATGTTATTGATTTTTAGTGCCTACAGAACAAATACAAGCACAAAATACACAGGAAAAGCTGCTGGCAACAGAAGAAAAGCTCACGTCTGGAGTAGACACGCTGTCGACAGAAAAGCTGACGACAGCAGTAGGAAATGAATTGGATAAAGTTTTAGGAACAGAATCAAAAAATGAAAATGTAACTGGAGATATTCTCCCTAGACCAATTGAGAGTGTCACATGAGCATGAAAAAGATCTTTATTAAAATTGTTTTTATCAGTTAAAAACTTGTTATTTGAAATACCCACCTTAAATATGGAAAGTCCTGTTCATAAGTTGGTAGTGTGATTTTTGTGCCCCCACTATAGGGGGGGCATTTAGATTTACCCTTGTCTGTCCATCCGTCTCCCTTGTTGGTCTGTCTGTCCTTCCGGCCTTCCGTTCTCTTTGTGTCGCACGTAGTTCAAAAAGTAATTGACCTAGAGTCATGAAACCTTACAGGAATGTTGATCAACGTGTAAAGTTGGCACCTGGGTAATTTTTGTGTAGATATTTTTAGAGTTATTGCCCTTGACTTAGTAAAAAATTTCTAATTTTCAACTTGTGTCGCACGTAACTAAAAAAGTATTTGACTTAGAGTCATGAAACCTTTCAGGATTGTTGCTCAGCATGTTTAGTTGTAAACCTCGGTATTTTCTTGTGGATTTAGTATTTTTAGAGTTATTGCCCTTGAATTAGAAAAAATTTCCAATTTTCAATTTGTGTCGCACGTAACTAATAGAGTCATTAAACCTTACAGGATTGTTGCTCAGCATGTTTAGTTGTGCACCTGGGTATTTTCCTGTGGATATTTTTAGAGTTATTGCCCTTGACTTAGTAAAAATTTACAATATTCAACTTGTGTTTCCGTAACTCAAAAAGTATTTGACCTGTAGGCCTGAAAGTTTACAAGAATGTTGGTCAGCATGTGTACTTATGCACCTTGGGGTTTTCTTGTGGATTTATTTAGTATTTGTAGTATTTGCCCTTTACTTAATAAAAAATTTTAGTTTTCATCTTGGGCACATGTAGCCAAACAAAATTTGACCTAGAGACACAAGATTGACAAATCCGTGGAGTGAGGGGGCACATTTCTAGTTTAAGCTCACCTAAGCAAGAATTGTTCAGCTTTTATGAAAGTGATGGGGGTGTGTCCGTTAGTTGATATCAATCGCAATTTCTGTTCATAAGTTGGTATTAACTATTGTCTGGTGCTCACCTGAGTGTTAAGCTTTTGTGATGATGATGGCAGTGTGTCTGTCAGTTGATGTCAAATCACAATTTCTTTCAACAATATCACCTAAACCAATAGGTAAACTTTGCCCTAAGTTCATGTCAATGATTCTTAAGTGGTCCTTTAAAAAAATGGTCCAGTCTGATTCATTAGTAGGAGCTAAAATAGACAAAAAAAGAAAGAAAAAAAACTTAAAGGCCAATTATGTCTCTGAAATGCTACCAATTTTACATCTAAAATTTTTAATTTTTGGTATCGTGTTACAGTTTTCTAAGTAATACTAATTTGCCATATACATGGGACTATTTTTTTGCAACTATAGCTCTGTATGATTATAGTGACTTAGTAGTATTTTGTATGGTAGTAAACAAAACTCCTTTGTTTACATTTGCTACCTTTTGGACACATTACTTCATTTTCAGCGCTATTTTTTTTTAGTTGTTTAACATTCTGTCATGCTCTAAATCAATTATTAAAACATAAACAAACACATGTGTGACATTTCTAAAGAATGAAAAGGAAAAAAAAAAGATTTTCTGAAGCATTATGTGCTTTTAAAAAACTTCCCCCAATGCCCAGAGCTTATTTATTTTATATGTAGCAACACCTTGTCATCTTAAACAAAATTGATACAAATCATGCCCACAGGGTCAATTTATATATACTTGTAGCATTGACTGGTAGACCTCTAAAAAAATAAGTGGGCCTCTGTTATGAATTGGGGGGGGGGGGTCACGTTTACTGTTAATCCAGTATTATTCGCGATGTTTTAATTCTCGCGCTATAATTGAAGTAGTAAAAGGTCTTAAAATCTCCCTACACGTAAAACTTAAATGCCCAAACGTGAGTAATTTATGCTCCATGCCTAGTATACCTCTATAATACTTAATATGTCTTGCCCCTTGGGTTAAAAATGGCCTGGATCTGTTCATTAAACTAGTATTCATGGACTGCCTTTCTTTGTCAGTATATATAACACAAGTTGGCATTAAGCATCACCTTTTGGTACTCTATTAAAGTTAAATTACTTGTGCCTGTGTGGTCAAAATCTGCCCCGCTCTCGGGGGTCACTTAGTTTATGTAAAATTATATACATAATTATAGTAAACATGCCCAAAATCTCATCTCCTAATCTACACTGCCCGTAGCACAGCAGGATACATACCCTTGTTGTCCTCTACAAAAACTCCATAGATCTATAATGTCTACAAAATTTTCATAGATCTTATCAAAATTGGCCCTCATGTTATTGAAAAACCAATAACAATTTTGCAAAATCATTTATTTAGTTTGTTTAGTATAATGTTAGACTGGCGGTATTTGGTCATATGTCGATATTTGGTCATATCTCGATATTTGGTCATATCTCGATATTTGGTCATATCTCGATATTTGGTCATATCTCGATATTTGGTCATATCTCGATATTTGGTCATATCTCGGTATTTGGTCATATCTTGGTATTTGGTCATATCTCGATATTTGGTCATATCTCGATATTTGGTCATATGTCGATATTTGGTCATATGTCGATATTTGGTCATATCTTGATATTTGGGCATATGTCGATATTTGTTCATATCTCGATATTTGGTCATATCTCGATATTTGGTCATATCTCGATATTTGGTCATATCTAGATATTTGGTCATATGTCGATATTTGGTCATATCTCGATATTTGGTCATATGTCGATTTTTGGTCATATCTCGGTATTTGGTCATATGTTGATATTTGGTCATATCTTGATATTTGGTTATATGTCGATATTTGGTCATATCTTGATATTTGGTCATATCTCGATATTTGGTCATATGTCGTTATTTGGTTATATCTCGATATTTGGTCATATGTCACTATTTGGTCATATCTCGATATTTGGTCATATGTCACTATTTGGTCATATCTTGGTATTTGGTCATATCTCGATATTTGGTCATATCTCAATTTTTGGTCATATCTCGATATTTGGTCATATGTCAATATTTGGTCATATCTCGATATTTGGTTATATGTCGATATTAACAGGATATTTTTTCGTTTAAGTGAAATATGGAATATATTTTCAGGAAACATGATGAAATGCCACATATTTTCACGAGCCCGGACAAAGAGTGAAAATATGTGGCATTTTATCATGTTGAGTGAAAATATATACCATATTTCACGAAAAACGAAAAATAACATTTTTATTTAATTTCATTATCAAAGAAAAATGGTTACAACCCCTCTTGCTTGCAACGCAACTGCAACTGTGCAGCGCACAGTAATATAATTATTGTCTTGTTTTGCACGAGATATTAAGCGCTATATTGTGACGTCACGTAAACAACTTTTAAACGTCTGTACAGCGTTAATGACTGAGTTTATAAAGATATTAGTGTTCGGATTTATTTTCTTAGTTAGAACGTTCGGATTTATTTTCTTAGTTAGAACATTTTCTATCATTCTAGATAGTTTTCAAAATAAAATTTTAAAAAAAGTTGGTTTATATTTATCAGATTTTTTCAAACAAAATGGCGAAAGAAGTCCCTTAAAATGAATATGAGTTTTGACTCCACCCACTTCCATATTTATATTTCATATTTATTTTCAAAAAATATGAAATATATTTGACTGATATAGTACCATATTTCATGGGTAAAATTAAATAATTGGTCATATGTCAATATTTGGTCATATGTCGATTTTTGGTCATATCTCGGTATTTGGTCATATGTCGATATTTGGTCATATCTCGATATTTGGTCATATCTCGATATTTGGTCATATCTCGGTATTTGGTCATATCTCGGTATTTGGTCATATCTCGGTATTTGGTCATATCTCGGTATTTGGTCATATCTCGGTATTTGGTCATATCTCGGTATTTGGTCATATGTCTATATTTGGTCATGTGTCGATATTTGGTCATATGTCTATATTTGGGCATATGTCGAAATTTGGTCATATCTCGATATTTGGTCATATGTCGATATTTGAGCATTGGTCGATATTTGAGTATTGGTCGATATTTGGTTATATGTCGATATTTGGTCATATCTTGATATTTGGTCATATCTCGATATTTGGTCATATCTCGATATTTGGTCATATGTCGATATTTGGTCATATGTCTATATTTGGGCATATGTCGAAATTTGGTCATATCTCGATATTTGGTCATATGTCGATATTTTGAGCATTGGTCGATATTTGGTTATATGTCGATATTTGGTCATATCTTGATATTTGGTCATATCTCGATATTTGGTCATATCTAGATATTTGGTCATATGTCGATATTTGGTCATATGTCGATATTTGTTCATATCTCGGTATTTGGTCATATCTCGATATTTGGTCATATCTTGATATTTAGTCATATGTCGATATTAAGAGGATATTTTTGCGTTTGAGTGAAACATGGTCAATATTTGGGCATATGTAGATATTTGGTCATATCTCGATATTTGGTCATATCTTGATATTTGGTCATATGTCGATATTTGGTCATATCTCGATTTTTGGTCATTTGTCGATTTTTGGTCATATCTCGGTATTTGGTCATATCTCGATATTTGGTCATAACTTGATATTTGGTCATATGTTGATATTTGGTCATATGTCGATATTTGGTCATATCTCGATATTTGGTCATATCTCGATATTTGGTTCAATTTTCATTTTTTAAACACATGTGTTTAGGTCTAATTAATCAATTTGCATCAGGGAGAAATTGCGCCTCGTCTCTCCCGAGAATTGAGCTAGTGTCCATTTGTATTACAAATCTGATGCTCTCTATTTTAAAGGGATACTCAGGCAAATTAATGACAAATATATTAAAATTGTACTCAAATCACGATAAAATGGAATACACAGGCAAATTAATGACAAAGATATTAAAATGATCGTATGTGCTCAAATTACGATAAAATGACATTTATTTAAAGTCCCAGGATGAATTTCTGTATACATACTATATATTTGAAGTGTAAGTATATCTATATATGTTGAACCAAATTTAGATGGCGTCAAAATTACAGATTCATGTGATTTGAACAAACCCTGGAAGTTACAATAACAAGTATTGTGGATAACAAATATTGTGGATATTGTATGATTGAAACAAGTATTAAATTCATTCATTTGACATGTTCTTTAACATGTTTAACGTTTTCAGAGTTCACTGTGACAACTATTGTGAAATCGTAACGCTCTTACTGACCCACGTGGGTCAAGTTAGAAAACCACCATTTTATTCTTTATATGTAGAAAAGTTTTGTTCGTGTGACTGCCTAGTGTATTTACTTTGAGGACATTTAGAGAATAATGAAAAAAAAATCAAAAGAAGAAATTAAAATATTGGGGGAGGGTCTATGCCAAGGAATAACTTTTTTGGAAATTGTAACGGAACACCAAAAATACAAAGCTTTTGAAAAATTAAAAAATGGTGCTGTTTTTTTATATTTGGGCCTATAAATTATGAATAGAAAGTAATGATCGAGAAGTCTGGATAGTATAACTTTTCTCAGAAAAAAAATGCTTAAATGATTTCCTTTTTTTTAAGTTTTTAATGTCGTATGTAGATGTATAATAATGAAATGTGAACTCTTTTTTTATAGGAAGCAAATGTCAGGCACAACTTTACAATTTGAAATTTCATCCTTAAGTATTACCTTAACATCTCGCGTCGCATCCTTTGTATTTTTTATGCTGCAAATATTTAAAGTATTATTATTTTATGTTAATATTATGTTTTCTATTGTTGTTTCCTGTATATTAATTTCTATATTGCTTTGAGTTCATTGCGATAGCAAATATAGAAAATGAGTACAATGTTTATATATGAAGTGGTAACAGACTATTATGGTTATTTAAAGGTGACACAACGATATAATAACCAGCCCCAAGGGCGTTTTTTTTTCACTGCAAATGACATTATCCATGTACTAATTGTCAATAAAGTGTAACTTGCTCGTATATCTTTGCGAGCTATGTATCACCCGGTGTCTGTATTCAGGGCGAGACGTTTTGAAATCACATAATGATTGTTCTTAACCTCTTGTGCCAAACCTTTACAATCTTCTAGGATAAATTTTCAAGTGAACTAGACAGACCTTGACATTCACTAATAAATGATCTTGACCTTGAAGGTCAAATTTTTGAATTTTTCATTTTTTGTGTCCTCTAACTGGATATAACTTTGTTATTAACAGATGGATTGACCTCATATTTAAAATAAATTCTTAAGGACCTTATGAGCGTAAACTCAAGTTGACCTTGGCTCATCTATGACCTTGACCTTGGAGATTACATTATTAACTTTTCACTGTTTTTTTTTTTGCTATACAGTGAAAAAAGACACAATTAAAACAACTATTGGGACTGGACCAAATTGGTCTTAATTGCGGGTTAATCTTAATTGTGGATACTCTTATCATTGCTTACATACACATGTACTTCATGACCATGGTCTTTTTTAGGCATTTTGTAAGAACAAACAATATAAGAAAAGCATATTATAATATTTAATCTGGTGAGAGGAAAACATATTTTTGAATAAATTCAATATTTAATTTTTTTGGCCTATTTTAATTTAATTATTACTAGTATATGATTTACATAATTTACCTATCAAATAAGAAATTCATTCTTCACAAATTATTTGCACGCGATCATTCAAGGTACTAGTTAATGCGGCTTATTATATCAAATGATATTCAGCTAGCGTCCTTACTTCCTCACCTACAATGCACTTCCCGCAAAGCACTTTTTCCCCGTGTAAATTACTTCCAGGCACGCTTTTCAAAACTGTAATAGAAGCGAACGGTGTAACGCTCTCTGGCTCGAATGACCTGCTCTTCAAGCTAGTCATTGCCCTTATCAGGAAGTTAAATGATAAGCAAGAAATTTAACCAAAAAAACTTGAGATTTATTTCTTTGACATCATAGCCAGGATATGTCCCTGATATAGTTTGATGAAGTTATGCATCATTTATGGCAAGTTAACACAGTCTATAAAAACCAAAACCAGGGCAAAAAGTAATCTGGCTGCCACAAGTTATTTGGTTGCTGCTGAGGCGGCTGCGCGGGCAGAAATGAAGTTTCTCGCACATTACTTCCTGTATTTAAATATGGCGGGAATAAAGACTGTCCAGAGAAGTCCGGCGCTGTGTTTCTTGTAAACATTAGATATTGCAAATAGTCTGCAAAAGTAGGTCGGAGGATGTTATTTTGGGGAGGAGATTGTTGGTCTGCGGTAGCTGTTATTGCAACTGCATCTGTTGCTGGTACGCCGGCTGTTGTTGTTTCTTGGATGGTTGGCGGCGTTGAGGCTAGCGTATTTGATGTACTGGAGATTAGTGCATGTCCTTTCGTTTCTGTTGCGTTCGTTGTAGGAGTGGCTAATGATGTCGAAGAAGCTGATTGGTTCGGTGATATAGTTGTGGTTATCAATGGAGGCGGTGCTTCTACAGGAGGTGTGACATTTTCTGCTGGCGTTTGTTCGGGAGTTTTAAAAGTTTCAAATCTGTGGAAAGAATGTTGTATTTTTATTTTGTGGTTGAGATAAGTGTGCAATTATTTTCAAAAAAATTCGTTACATTTATACATACACCTTTTTCCCTCCCAATCCGTATGAAAAATATCTTATTTAAAGCATCTTGGATATTAAGTACGAAAGAAAATGAAATTTCAGTACTGTGTCATAAAGGTATAGTAAAATGTTTTCAAAGTAGTATATTGATTTCGATACAAAACACAAATTCACTACATATCTATACCAAATCAACAAAATATAGTTCATCTATATGGCAAGTGACTAAAAAAATATTTTTTTTTTTTTGGAAACGTTAATTATCATTACACAAAAAAAATAAAAAGATTTTGAGAATTAAAGCAGCACGCCTCCAGATTCATGCTTATTTTCATGAAAATTTGAAAATGTATTTAACAGTTCAATAATGTAAAGTTACCGAAATAATGCAATTTACACATATTCAATGACACTACAACCCATGTAAATTACCATATGCAAAATAGCCCTTACTGCGTTAGTAACGCAGTAGAAATATAGTAATTAATACTGGAAAATCGGCTATAAATCGCAAATAAAATGTAAATTGTTGCTAGAATTTTTAACCTTTATACTTTTCTAAAATCTTAGTACATTTTTATCAGGTTTGATTTTATCGAAATATTTTTGCTCATCTGGAGGCGTGCAGCTTTAAAACTGATAGCATTTCTTAGACATAATGAGTCTTTAAAATAAGTACTAGTACAATTTATTACAGTTGCGGTGTGTTTAATTACACTACAAAAGTACGTTAACCAGCTTGTGAAATAATGGCAATAACATATACGTTTATATCAAAATTAGATGTATTCAGAATATAAAAACAAACTTACATATACATGTTATCTGGATGAGGAAGCTGTTCTGACAAGGCTGTTATGTTGATGGGTTTACCTGTGAAACAGTCTAATGTATGATTGTCTTTCTTCACTATTAGAGGCTGACATCCATCAAGTAACATCTTACAGTCTTTCCTAAACGCGATAGCTCCTCCTGCATGTCCAAATCTACAAATTAAAGCTTATCCAATAACTACGGAATACTGTTCGGGCCAACTAAAATTTTGATAGTTGCACGCGGTAAATAATTATCCATTTTGTCCTGGTTGATGAGAACACGTGTGGCAAAATGTAACAAGGTTTGAGAGGCTCTGACACAGTACATTGTAAGTATTCATCATTTCTTAAAATACATCTTGGAAGACGAATTCGTCTTCTTATAATACATAAATAGAACTAGACTTCACAAAAACTGACACGAAAATAGGACCGAATGTCACATTCTCCTCATCACGTGATAAGAGTAAGATTATCAATTACATTGTATGTACATGTATATTAATTACATTTAAAAGTAGGTTTTTAACAAAGCAAACAAACAAAAATACGCCATTGAAATAGTGCCAAAGAATACTTGATTTATTATCTAATTGCCGTTAAGCATATCTAATTGCCGTTAAGCATTTTTTTATAAGAACGGAAATATCACCTTGTGCAGTTAAATGGAAATAACGCAAGAATGTGAAAATACGTGTACAAAGTGTACAAAGTATTAAAAGAAGCGCCGCATTACTACTCGTTTTATTTCAGCCATTGATTGGCACAATTCGGCGTAACTTTTGGACGATGCCTGCACTTTTTTCACATTTCAGCGTTGAACGATATACTCCTATCTAGATCTTCTAAAACGGTAAGTCGGCTGCGAAACATTACATACGTAACACAACATAATGTGTGATTTTTATCAGCAGCAAAAATAATGGAAGTAAATTAATTTATGTTGTAAATTTTAAACAAACATCTCATACTGCTGATTAGAATGACTTTGTGCGTTTGTTATATTTATCCTATGACTGCATACATGTACATATGAAACTGCAATATAAATATAATAAGAGTATGATTGAGCCGCTTCATGACAAAACCAACATTATGGGTTTGCGACCAGCATGGATCCAGACCAGCCTGCGCGATCAGGATCCATTCTGTTTGCTTAAAGACCCTATAACGAGTAAAGAAACTGATAGCGAACAGCATGGATCCTGATCAGACTGCGCGGATGCGCGGGCTGGTCTGGATCCATGCTGGTCTCAAACACATTATGTTAGATTTGTCGTGACGCGGCTCAAATGACTTAAAACTTGCGAACCCGCAGCACTGAAGTCCGTCCATAGTGCATTTACAGTCCAAACACTGATCTACCAGGTACAAGTTCGAGCCTGGGAAAAGCCGCATGCTCGAACCCTGCAACGGTTTGTATTCACAATAATAGCGTAGTCTTCTTGATACTGAAATGAATAAATTAATGTTTGACGCTTTTGTATAAAAGTACACCCCCACACACAATATTCCTTCCATTCTTATTTGATCTTCTAAAATCGGTATCATGAATACACGTATTACTTAAGTAAATATATACATGAATGTATGTGTGTGTGTGTGTGCGTGCGTGCGTGCGTGCGAGCGTGCATGCATGTATTATTATTATTTTATTTTCATTATATTATTATTTATTATTTTTATTATTATTATCATTATTATTATTATTATGATATACATGTATACTTAATAAAATCATTATTTTTTTCTTTTGTTATGGACTGCCCGGCATTAAATTTGGAACATTTCATGATTTCTTTAGCAAAAAATGGGATAAAGCTACCAATAGGTCAGACTGGCAGCTTTAGATTATTAATCACTTTCGGTTGTAACAGGTTAAAGTTTATCAAGACAATGGTTTATCAAGACATTGGTTTATCAAGACAATGGTTTATCAAGACAATGGTTTATCAAGACAATGGTTTATCAAGACAATGGTTTATCAAGACATTGGTTTATCAAGACAATGGTTTATCAAGACAATGGTTTATGAAGACATTGGTTTAACAAGACAATGGTTTATATCAAGACAATTGTTTATCAAGACATTGGTTTTGCTCGGTTTAAAATTTTGAGTGAATCCCAGTTTGAGTTTGTAAAGGTCATATGGCGACTTTACAGCATCACTTGAAGAGACCGACCTCATTTGTACATTATTTCTGCGTAGACTTGGTTCCTCATTGCAAGCCTTCGAACGGCTTTCAGTAAGTTAACTGGATTTCTTCGCATAAAAATAAAATAATCCAAAGTTCCTGCCGTGATACGAACACCGTTACACGTCAAGGTTTTTTTGTGTTAGAAACCGTAACTACTCAATATTTGAAGCCCCAACGAGATAATACATCACATTTAAAAAGAAATTACGAAATTTAGAGAGAGACAAACAAATAAGAAAGAAACAATTAAAGATATAATATGCTCAAATTTGATATTATAAAATATTGATAGTTGCTACTAAGCGTCTTTGTAAACATAAAATGAAAATGTTTTGACTTACACAAAATAGATATGTTATATTTAAAATTCTACGAATACATGTACATGTATTTGTTTCAGAAAATACCAACTTTTCCTGACCGCTAATAAGGATCGCAGTCTTCAATACATAGTTTATTCATTCTTTTATTCGAATTAGACAAATTCGATAAGAATTTTTATAGATTTCAATAAATTAATGAGCCGTGTCACGACAAAACCAACATTACGGGTTTGCGACCAGCATGGATCCAGACCAGCCTGCGCATCCGCGCAGTCTGATCAGGATCCATGCTGTTCGCTATCAGTTTCTCTACTTGTAATAGGGGTTGTAAGCGAACAGCATGGATCCTGATCAGAATGCGCGGATGCGCAGGCTGGTCTGGATCCATGCTGGTCGCAAACCCATTATGTTGGTTTTGTCGTGACGTGGCTCATTTCTATGATAAAAATATTTAACGCAAAGCTGAGCATTAAAAATGTATAAGGTAATTTACCAGTCATCTCAGCCATCAAGTTTGCTCGAAAACAAAACCCCACACAATTCTGAACCAATAATGCAATTCCAAACACAATAATCTGGCAGCAAAATAATCCACGGACCTCCATCTTTGACAACTATTTTACAACTGAATAAACACATAACTATAATAAGGAATGTACTTTTGATAATATTTTAGTTTCAGTAACCTTGGCTAATAAATTGCTTTTCGGTGCTAGTAACGCTTTAGGATGGTTGGCGAGTTTGGCAACTTTTCAACACAACAGTCGTGTCAGTTTGAGTAATACGGTAACGGCAAAATACAAAGGTCAGTTTTAGATAATGGGTATGTCTAGATGTGTCGTGTTAAATTTGACGCATTATAAAACACATTTTTAGATTTATGAGCCTTACCCACGCCTCCATCCATTAAGCTTCCGAGCGTCTAATCGCGTAAACATATGACAAATTAAATCGTGCTAAATATAACGATAGCTGTTGTTAATTTACTGTTTAAAATAGAATAAAGTATGTCTTTAAAATAGGTCTTTGTTAATATTGCAAACTTTAATAAATTTTAAAAAAAAGGCTTTTTTTATGAAGCAAACTTTGATAAATTTCAAAATAGGTCTCTTAATATTAAGCGGACTTTGATAAATGATGATTGCATTTTATGCAGTCATATATAGAACGGCAAAAAACAAACAAACAACAACAACAAAAGACATTAAAGGGTGTCCACTAAGGTTATGTGGCATGGCGGGACTAGAAATATTGTGTTGTTCTTTTGTTGTTTTTTTTTTGTTGTTTTTTCAAAATTTTATACCAATTGATGTATCAATATATATTAATTGTGTGCAAAATTTCAGATCATTTCGTCACTCCGTTTTTCCTGTATAATCACTTCTAATGTATAAACTCACATAACAATAAAAAGTGTTTAAACGCATTTAAGTCAAATCTAGGTACAATTCTCTTCTATTCTTTTCTATTCTATTTTCTATTTCTGTATGAGGACAGTTTTTAAAAATCAAGTGTAAGCAGAGGTGATTGTTTTCTCTCACCTGTAGTATAGAGGTACGATATTTATATCTCAACCAGGAAGTTACGTTACCATTTAGCAAAATGATGTCGCGTTTGATTTACATCAGGAAATGTTACCCAATCAATAGCTTCAACATTCTTAAGTCTCGGTAATGCTGTTTATCCAGTACCTTTTATACATCAATGTAAACGAAAAATTACTTCACTAAATTTATAAAAAAAATGTAGCTTATGGCCAGGCTCTCGCATTTTAACATGGACAGCAATTGGCTGAAAAAAGTGCCGGTAAAACCGCAGTAAGATTCAATTGGACATGAGGTGATTAGCTGAAAATGGGATATTTTCAATTATGAAAACTAATTCACTATATTGTTTATGAAGAAAATAGAATATTTCATGAGTCTCTATGATAATTTGCGATTTGGATATTTGTTTTAATCGGCAGAAAATTTCATGAAAAGGGGGTGGGGTAATCCTTTTTGAAGCCATTTTGCCAAAAAATTGGTTGTCTACCCCTATATAAAATGATTATTTTAATGTGTTAGACATTTCATTCTGCTAGAAAAATCATTCTTTAGCATGAAACCTCAATTTTAAGGTAGGATTATGGACCATTACTTATAACGTAAGTCTATTGGAAAATCAATGTGAGTGTCTGACCTTATCCTACATAATGAAGGAAGATTCGAGAGTGCGCGCTCACGCATGCGCACTTTACTTATGCAATCGTAGCGTAAGTTACGCTTAGATAAGGAACAGGAATACTATATTTACATTCATTTATGTCCTTATAACTAATAAACATGGGGTAAAGGGGAAATAAGGTTGTTGACTCGGGTGAAGGACGTAATGATTCAGCGAAAATTAACGTCAGACATAATGGACAAAAAAGAAGAAAAAACTTGCTTCTTTCATTTTATAGGATAATAATTATATACTTGTTGGTAACCGAAAAAAGTAGTACGCGCCCGAGAAAGAGATAATAAGTTTTTATTAAGCTTTAGATCTTCAGCACCGTGAGATGGAAAAAAAATGTTGAAAATATATGAGGCGCGTCATGACAAACCCAACATAATGGATTTGCGACCAGCATGGATCCAGACCAGCCTGCGCATCCGCGCAGTCTGATTAGGATCCATGCTGTTCGCTTACAAACCCTTTAACAAGTAGAGAAACTGATAGCGAACAGCATGGATTCTGATCAGACTGCGCGGATGCGCAGGCTGCTCTGGATCCATGCTGGTCGCAAACCCATTATGTTGGTTTTGTCTTGACACGGCTCATATGAAGCTACATCTAGGCTTTATCCACGAGTATGGTTGTGAGATGATATGTATTTTTTTTAGTTTGAATTCAGGTCACAGCGGCACTTGAAAGGGTTATATTGAAACATGCCAGCTTAAATTTGTTGAGGAGAACTTCAGGTGACACCTGCGTAGAAACACCTACGTTCCGTCAGCAAGCCTCGTTTTCATTTCCAGAGTCCAAAAGGTTCATATCAAATCCATATCATATCCCATATAACATTGTTTTCACTTCCAGAATCCAAATTGTTTATATCAAATCCACATCGCAAGTCATCTAGCCTCGTTTTCATTTCAGATAGTCCAAAATCCGTATCCAATCCTTATTGTAAATGAAGCATATCTATAGTTCTATCAAAATGCTAAGAGTGGTGTGCATGTGAAATAAAGATGTCTTTATTTATTGTTAAGAACAATACTGATTACACAGCTTCAAAACCTTTATCAGGCCCGATTTGCGCCTCGTCCAATATAGTTTGACAGCTGTCTAATCGTCCAATATAATTCATTTACTCAACAATTTTTGATAACTTCATAATGTCATAACGCCGTGGTTGTATTGTTATATAATCGCACGTGTCCTTCACGTGTCTAATACAATAAAGATGAGAAAGCAGTCATGAAAAGAATGTTTCTATATATGAATAAGTAAGTATGTTTAAAATATATATCATATATAAATATGAAAATTGTATTCTGTGTTAAGAGTTAAGATAAAATTAACGCAGGATGTCGTTTTAACCATTTGTCAAGATCTTCTTGTTTGTTTGTTTGTTTGTTTGGATATTTTATGTGTTTTTCTTTTTATATTTTTAGTCATGTTTTATACTACTATTATAGTTTTTGTACCTTTTTTGATAATTGACTGCAATAAAACCAAACGTTTGCCAATTTCAATGTTAACGATACTATAATAAAATAAGCCATAATATATTAGCCGTGTCACGACAAAACCAACATAATGGGTTTGCGACCAGCATGGATCCAGACCAGCCTGCGCATCCGCGCAGTCTGATCAGGATCCATGCTGTTCGCTTACAAACCCTATAACAAGTAGAGAAACTGATAGCGAACAGCATGGATCCTGGATGCGCAGGCTGGTCTGGATCCATGTTGGTCGCAAACCCATTATGTTGGTTTTGTCGTGACACGGCTCATATATTTTGAGAAAAACGACGGTGTTGCGTAAGAAGTGTCTTACCGTGTATATAATTAATATGCCACGCCTTAAACATGTTAAAATAACAAAAATGATACAACATCAAAATTTGACATGTCTGGTAACCAACATGGTACAACTCTAAACAATATCGGAGTAATTGTCTAATTATGTTTTATGAAAATAACATAACATATCAATTAAAAAAACAAGTTTTTTTTGTTTTTTGTTTTTGTTTTTTGTTGGTTTTTTTTGGGGGTATTTTTTTTCAAATATCAAATATCAGGGGCAATTAAAGGCACATTATGTCTCAGATTTTAAAAAAAAATTGTTTACTTCTGTTGAAGGAGCAAACATGAATTTTATAAATTAAATGTTCAAATATTTTTTTTAAAGAAATGTTAGATTTTTATAACATGAAAAAAGAAGCGATAAATGTGAAATCATTTGTCATTAAAGTAGCAAAATGTAAACAAATTAGTATTTTGACTTCCATACTAAACACTAAGTCTTTATAACTGTACTTATTGACAAAAAAAGCAACATATGGAAAATTAAAGACTTTTCCAGTAATTGACCAATGAGTATTTTTTTGGATACTATTAAGTACACCAAAATTAGAAGACGTTTGAGAAGTAAAAATAAAAGCATTTCTGAGGCATAATGGGCCTTTAATATACATGTAACTGCTTTAATATCTGAAGTAACAGTCGCGTGTTCAGAATAAATATCTTCAGGTGAATTTAACAAAAAGCAATGATCATATCGTATATAAAATTTGAGAATGTGAGAATTGGATTTTTTTCTCTTTAAATAATCAGAATCCGAAAAGGGAATACTTTCAGCTGAGCCTTTAAAGTGTAATTAAACACGTTTTGGATATTTATAATTCTGGTCACAAGAATTCGATAAAGAACAATGACTTCATTGCTAAGCATAAATTTCAGTTACTCATTCGTAAAGCGGCATGGATATTGATATTTTATCTCGAAAACAAATAGATAATAAAGAATAATTTTAATTGATTACGCTAATTGCAAATGGATATAACTTTAACTTAACTTACTTGTAACTGAACTTACTTAACTAACAATTACGATTTCTTGTTGTTGTTGTTGTTGTTGTTGTTGTTGTTGTTTAACTATACTTTATTTCTATTTTGAATTGATTTCATAGAAACAATCGCGGAATTGTTAATTTACTTACTTGTGGTGAATTTAAAATTACAGCGTTATTTAAATTTTCTTTATTATTATTATTATTATTATTATTATTATTATTATTATTATTATTATTATTATTATTATTATTATTATTATATCATCATCATCATCATCATCATCATCATCATTATCATCATCATTATTATTACTGTTATAGAATCGGATGAGAATGATAATTCCACGTTAGCTTTTATTGGTCATTGAACATAATCATAAATTGATTTAACTTACATTTTGCTTTTTCTTGAATTCATAATTTCCATATTTCTAAAAAGAGCGATGAAAAGTAAGTATTTCATTAGGCTAAATTATAAATATTTAATGTAAATAATGTATTGTATAAAACTAATTAGTTCGTGAATACTATGGTTTCATTTATTTGGGCATTGAGATTAAAATATCTAATAGAACTCGATTTACAATCCCCC